TATTCATGTTACACGGTGGACATTCACCGTAAATAGATCAACGCAATGACACGACGAGAGCGCGGCACTCTTCTTTTTTAATTAACTGTAAAGCAGCTCCTTCTTCTCGTCTCACCGACAAACGCCGCGCGTTGAAGCGGACTAATCTACGACACGTGCGTCTCCCGGCAGCGAGAGAGAGAGAGAGAGGGTGGGGGAGGGGAGAGTCTCTGCGGAATTTAAATCAGGGATCCACATTTCTATAAAGTGTCAGTGCCGACAAAGGGAACGACAACGGTGCCGATAATTAGCGGATTAGATGTTAGACAAACATCGGTTGCGTTTCTGTGGTACCTACGTAAGCGAAACACGTGTTTCGGGGGGTAACGCTGACATCCATCACGCGTCTGAGCACGCCCACTGCAAGCACACCACCGCGTTGTGGCGTCTGCCTCTTGCGCTCTTAACTTTTCTTTTATCCGCGTTTACTTAAATTTGTATTCACTATTTTCCACGTTCGCGCGATCCCTCGTGTCCGCGCCAACGAGCTTCCCGCAGCATTCTACCGTGTGTCCGAATATCGTATCGCATCGCGTATTATCTCACGCTGAAATTTTTGTCTCATTTTTCTTTCTTTCCCTTTTTCCTTACTTTCGACTCAATCACGATTTCGTAAAATAAAGGTATCAATATCCGGACACATACTTAATCCTGCACATTCTTATTGTTTTGGTCTTCAAATATATGAATATTTAAACACTTTCACAACATAAAATTTATATATATTCAGAGAAATAAATGATTGATCTAATTAAAATTGTAGTTATTTTTCGCCCCAATCAATCAATTTTATAGTAGAATTTAATAAAACATGATTTTCTTGACCATAATTTATAGTAATTATCTCTGCATGTTATTGTTACAAAATAATGGTTAGATAAATAGCAAATATTTTCTTTCAGTGTATATTGAATATATTCGATATCGAAATATTCGTATTTAAAAACTAAAACAATACGAATGTCCAGGATTAGATAGATGCGTATCCGAAGAATTGGTACTTTTATCTTAACTGTGCATGCAATATTCAATAGAATGATATCTAAACCTTCAAATCTTCTCGAAAAGAACGACGCTAGAGCTCTCTTGGCCTGCTCGTATAAGCTCGTGAATCAATCACGAACTTCCTCTTATCAGTATCTACGTCGATTAACAATAAGATGAAACACGCTGTGTGGCTGATCAGAGTTACAGCTTCGATGTTTCTCCAATACTCGCCATTGGCGATTGGCTATGCGTTCCGTTATTGCTTCATCCAGCGTTCCAGTAAATAACAACGTACAAAGCCGCGGGCAAACGCGCATATCGTCGCATAGAAATTTCGCCGGGGACGATTTTACACTCCCATGATCGGCGATCCGTTCTAAACTTGTTTACGTCGCCCAATTGAACATTTTCCCGTGAGGAACGCGCGGAAAAGAAACGCAATCTCGCCCAGCACGCAGGGTGCGAGCGCGCGCGCGCCCGACCGTGTGTCGTTTTATTACGAAGGAGAAAATTTATGTGAGTCTACTCTCTCATACACCAGCATCGGCTGTTCTTTCCACCGGCTGGCATACCGTTCAAGCAACAGAGACACGCGCAAAGAGGATATGAATAAATAAGAAAAGCGCAACGGAAATGAGGGCTCTACGAGATGCGGCTACGTGATTCTTGGAAGAAGAGTTTCGGACGGATTCGTCGTCGTTGTCGTCGTCGTCGTCGTCGTCGTCGTCGTCGTCGTCGTCGTCATCGTCGTTGTCGTCGTCGTCGTCGCCGCCGTCGCCGATCATAGCGACGTGTTTTTGCTTCGCAAGGTTCCATCATGTCCGCCATACTTTTGCGGGACCCTTTCTGCCCTTTAACGGCGATTTGCAACCCTCACCGAGCGCGCGCGCGCCGATCCTCAGGCTCTCTCGTTCTCGCAGACGACGCGACGATTTTGGAACGATCTCGAAATACCCCGCGTTAAATGCTGCGTGATTCGCAGTGGGTTGAAAAATTACTTCGAGCGAGAAATAAATGCGCAAGCCACGCAAAAAAAAATGTATCGCGTCCTCTCTAAATTTCTCGAAGTGAAATCTCACTCAAAACGAGTGAAAGGTATTTTCACTCGAGACGATAGTGAAAATATTGTTACTTGAAAGTATCAACAACGAATAAAATTTCACTCAAGATTAGAATAAATTTTTACTCCAAAGAAAGAAAAAAATAATCGATTTAACTAAAATTACAGCTACTTTTGACCCCAACTATATTTTTTCATTATTTTACTACGAAAATGGTATTATTACTAACATGTGTAGAAATTTATTGTCATCAACATTGTAGTAGAATTTAATTAAAAAATAGTTTCCTTCACACCATAATTTATAATAATTATTTTTTACGTGATTATAGTTATGAATACTAAACATTGTTTTCTCAATGTACATGAGCGAGTGTTTTAATCGATTGGAGTCAATTTGTGACAGTGGAATACGTCAGATTTACTCTTCGATTTCGAGTGAAAATATTTATTCGACGATCCAGAATGGAGAATTCACTCTGGGAGAGAAAAATCACTGGGATTCGAGTGACTCGGCTCGACCTCTCGCGTGGAATTTCATTCCAAGAAATCTAGAATCTTTTATTAGAGTATTTCGTATATCAATTGTATATTGAATTAGTCAACAAAAGGCTGAAATTGTCGATTGGATTTTCGATAATTCCTTGACGATAAAACCATCTTCCGCGACAGAAACATACGAAACCTGCCAAAACGTTGGCAAAGACTCGCAATCAACAAGATTGATTGCTCAGTTATACGAATAATTTATGTTCCTTGAGTGCAATAAGAAGACCAAATTTGATAACAACATCAAATCAAGCTTCTTGACTGAATTGAAGACGTATGTCACGACCCTTTACTTTATTTACAGCAAATATTTTCTCTCAGTGTATATTGAATATATTCGATATCGAAACATTCGTATTTAAAAACTAAAACGATACAAATGTCCAGGATTAGATAGATGCGTGTCCAAAGAATTGGTACTTTCACCTTAACTGTGCATGCAATATTCGATAGAGTGATATCTAAATCTTCAAATCTTCTCGAAAAGAACGACGCTAGAGTTCTCTTGGCCCGCTCGTGTACGCTCGTGAATCAATCACGGACTTCCTCTTATCAGTATTTACGTCGATTAACAATAAGATGAAACACGCTGTATGGCTGATCAGAGTTACAGCTTTGATGCTTCTCCAATACTCGTTCTTTTCGAGAAGATTTGAAGTTTTAGATATCAGTCTATCAGTCTATCAAAATTGGTGAAAGTACCAATTCTTCGGACACGCATCTATCTAATCCTGGAAATTTGTATTGTTTTAGTTTTTAAATACGAATATTTCGATATCGAATATATTCAATATATACTGAGAGAAAATATTTGCTATAAATAAAGGGCCGTAATATGCGTCTTCAATCGTGAAACAATGTTCGTCGCGCGCACATGCACGCGAACACACGTGTCGAACGATTCGACGTTGATTCGTGGAACTCCTGGATGTGCACGGTTAAACATCAACGATTTGGGCTTAATGATCCGCGTTACGTTAAAGCTCTAGCTCCTTCGCCGGCAAAGATTCAATAGCGAAGGGGGTTACGCGCGCTCGTTAAACATAAGCTTCGAAAGAACCGTATCATTCAGCTTATGCGCCTGAATACTCGGAACGCTTCGAGAAATCGTTTCGCACACGCGTCTTTGAGCGAATGAGCATTACACTTAGGTGTCTGTTTGAGCCGACGTTACTCAAATAATTGCATTTATCGTAAGAAATTATCGAGAGAAATTATCATATGCTTCGCACTGAGAAATTCCAGACGATCCTACACGACGCGTAAGAATGTTTATTTCTCTTATCGATCTGGCGTGTTTAAATAGCTTTCGATGAAAGAAGAATAATAAATAAGAAGATGTCGATGATAAACGTAATGAAAATTCTCTTATGCCCGATTTCATGTAAATTAAGTCAACTTGAATTTAAACTTGAAATAAAAATTTAAACTCAGGTTAAGGTTTAAGAATGTTGTCGGGCATTAATCTGAAAATCCGGATTATTCAGACTATCTGGTACAAAAGCAAGGGAATGGTAATATTAAATTAGTGCAAAAGGTCTGTTGTGTTTGTCAAATAAACGAGATTATCTGATTTCGGAGGATTGTTGCACATAAAATGCATAACATCGGCTCGGTATTTTTTTAAGCATCTACCCTGAAAGGAATTACGTAATGGAAAATTAGCCAAAGAATCTTTTCGATCAAAATTTGGTCACAAATGCCGATTAATTTTTATTATTTTCTTCCTAATACTTTCAAATTTCTTAAGAGAATTTAATAGAAAATTGTCAAATCTTTTGCACCATTTGATAGAATACCGTTTTTAATATTAGGATACCGTTTTTTAAATTGTAAAATGTGGACAATTATTATAGCGTACACTGTAAAAAATTTTGCGTACATAATACGTAAACAAATGTTCCAAAAAGTCTACTCTAAATTTTAATTTATCGAAAATAACTCATTCATATGTTCATTCGTGTGTTATTTATATTATGTACTAGTCTATACATAACGTAAATAATACAAAAATGAACATATAAATGAATTATTTTCGACACAAAATCTAGAGTGGACTATTTGGAACATTTGTTTATGTATTGTGTACGCAAGATATTTTATAGTGTAATCGAATAATAATTATTTCAGGCAGTTCGATTATTAACACACTGAATGATGCGACGGTTACCGCGTTTAGTTAAGTCATGTGTAAAGTATAATTAATTGCGTATGAAATATCGATTGCACGGTCAATAGAGAACCGATGAAACGAGGTAAAAGATGTATGCGTCGCGAATTACATATATTTACCGTGCCTTTGGTAATTCAGTCGTCAGTTTGCATTCTTAAACATTGGTACATTACGGCATTTATTTTCCTCGTTATAAATCAGTACAATATCTTACTCTTACGCTACATATCATGTGAGTCGGGTATTCCCCGTTTCGCAAAGTCCCCAACGTCCAATCAGGTTCAACGATGAACCACGGCCGATGTTGTAGTTTATTTGCCTCCTCCGTGTCGTCTGTGTGTCGTCCCGCACGTGTACTGCATTTCACTTTCGGGAAATCGACGTCTTAATATATAGTGAATATCGCGACGCGCGAATGTGTATATAATATATAAATAAATAAGTAAAGCATCACAGCGGTCATGAAATCTATTAATGCGTACGCAAAATGCAATCGCGATTATCGTAAAGTTCGATTATCGTTTAAAAGAAATAAAGATCGCAGTGATCGCGAAATTTATTGACGCAAGCAAAATTACCATGAATGACTTCGCGATATGTTTTGCAAAGTTCAAAGGTCGAATTTCATTCAGCGGCGTTCGGTCAGTCGTGAAAAATTGAGCTGTCAAACGAAATAGCGGGATAAATCAATAATAACGGATTGTGTATTTTAAAGGCAACGATACTTCATTAATGTACACGCAGAAAAACGCGTCAGATCTTTCGTATAAAGTTTCATAATATTAGTTAGATAACGTCAGATAAAGTTTTATAATATTCTCGTAGAGAGATTGAATTCTTCTTTATGGAGTAGACGATACAATTTGTGATGAGTATATTTTGAGAGATTATCGTCAAGAAAATATTTTTCCTGTTTTGTTAACTCACTGAACCACGTCGAACTCAAAGCCGATGACATTCTGCTATCCAGATCAACGGCAAAAGATATAGCTTTTCTGATTAGATTTACGAATTCTGCTTATCGAACGAGTATAGGTTTCAGTGGATTAGCTACTCGCCTTTTGCGGTCGTAATTTGAGTCACTCTGACAGCTATATCTCGGCTTTCGACCATAAGGGGTGAAATGGGGAAATATAAAGAGGTTGTGAAAACGTACCTTCGACCTGACTCTGCTCGACCCAAACCGAATAATCCTTCGATGTTGCATCCTCTAACGTCAAATCTTCTACAACATTTCTCACACCTGTTGCAAACTCCTTAATATCTGAAACAACAGATCATTTTCTCGATTAAAATCAGATCGTTTTAATTATTCCGATGCTCGATTATAAAAAGCTGTTATGGAAATTGCAATAAATCAGCAGTCTTCTCGAATTTGCGCTCGCTGGAGCTACAATTTAACGTACCATCGCAAGATTTACCAAATCCATAACAGAAAATAATAAATCCATAACGGAAAAAGTTCCCGATTAGTTATCAAATGATAGATCGATAAATTATTAATACGAATAGTTCCGTGACTTGAACAAAATGTCCGAAGAAACAATTGAAAATCACGTTACGAGATACGTCACTGCAATTTAATTCTCCTACACTTCTGTGATTAATTATCATGCGCTGTTAGTTCTCAGGTTCATTTCCGACGTCTCTTCGCTGTATACATTCAGTATTATTTATATTCCTGAGAATGTATATATACAAATGTGCCCAAATATTTTGCAACGCTAGCACCAACACGATTTATCGCGAAGCAAATTTATTGTAGCGCTATCAATCCAAGGATTACACAAAGCTGAATTTCGTTGACGCGTGAAATGAAAGATTCGGCAAACACGAGAGATGTATATCCACGAGGTGTGTGAGACCTCGACTTATTTATAATAACGTTAACGTTACAGGACACGTACTCGTAGAATTAGAACCAGACGATTTCTTTTCCTCCGTCCGGGGAGGAAAGGGCTGAGAGTGTCTTCGACACTGGCGACCTATCTCGCACAGATACATTCACTCACATTTGGGCGTACCGTCATCTACAGGCGGACGAGTGCGTTTGTAGTTACCGTCTCTCTTTCGTTAAAATGTGTGTTACACGCGTGTAAAATGACTACACGTGTCGGAGTCTTTGATCTCGACCATTCATCACCGCTTGCGAGAAAAAGTCTAATAATATTACGTGCACGGAGACCACGTGCATGTGTGAACACATGTGTATGCGTGTATCTGTGCGTAACGGGTCTGCTGTGTGTGTGTGTGTGTGTGTGTGTGTATGTGTACGTGTGTACATGTGTGCGGCACGGTGCGTGCGGATATATACCTAGAGCCTCGAAAATCACCACGGATATACTTACGTGCGTACTTCATCTTCGTAAAACGTTTTATTCGCGTTCGGTGAAAGCGTTTGCGATTTTGCCAAAAGTCACATCGAGTATTCCGACCGCGGTGTGCGCCGCGTGTGTTATTTATTATCATTGGATCTGTAACATATCCAAGCCCGTTTGCTATCGCGGAATTTAGCGGCGGTATATTGGAATCAAGTCGCGAATAACTTTCGACACGTGGTGTGTGATTAAATGGAGAAAAAGAAATGCGATGTCACTCTCGTCTCTGAATCGTGAATGACACATGGTCCGAAGGATTAAGTGCAGATTTCCCCGGTCGCTGCCCATCCGCGCTCATCCGGGAACCAAGTGAAAAGCTGGCTGCAATAAGTGGTGAATTCGTTGTTTCGCAGAGAACGCGAGCGAGATCGGGGCGCAACCGCAACCACAGCAGCAGTCGCATCAGCAGCAACAGCAACAACAACAACAGCAGCAGCAACAACAGCAGCACCATCAACAGCAATACGGGGAGGTGAACCAATTGGGCGGCGTGTTCGTCAATGGCAGACCTCTCCCGAACGCCGTCCGATTGAGAATAGTCGAGCTCGCGCAGCTCGGCATCCGACCGTGCGATATATCGCGACAGCTACGCGTCAGTCACGGATGCGTCAGTAAAATACTGGCGCGCTATCACGAGACGGGTAGCATTTTGCCAGGCGCGATCGGCGGCAGCAAGCCGCGCGTCACCACGCCGAAAGTCGTGCAGTACATCAAGCAGCTGAAGCTGAAGGACCCGGGGATCTTCGCCTGGGAGATCAGGGACCGGCTGCTGTCCGACGGTGTCTGCGACAAGTACAACGTGCCGTCGGTCTCCAGCATCTCGAGGATCCTGCGGAACAAGGTCGGCGCCACCACGACTATGCATCACCATCCGCATCATCATCCGGCGCACCACCATCATCATCATCTGTACGCGGCCGCCGCGGCGGCCGGTGCGGCCATTTGTCCGGTGCCGTACCCGCCGACGGTGCCGTACCATCCGACGGCACCGCCTTCCGTCACGCATCATCATCATCACCATCATCATCATCAAGGTTAGTATACGAGTGCCGATTAGGCGCCTTCCCGGTAGGTAACGGTGATCTTCATACTGTCGCCAAATGTCGTTTGCGTATGTCTTCTGAGTTACTATGTCGCATTCTCTCTCTCTCTCTCTCTCTCTCTTTTTCTTCTCTCTGTGTGATGTTCCTACCCTGATGGCATCCGATCAAGATTAGAGGAGAAGCTCTAAATATTGGCTATTAGTGTTTGCATTAGTGCACTCTACATGGCGATACACTCTACTGAGAAGTACTTGAATAATTGTTTCTAAGGCGCAGCACATGTAGCTTAATCGTACGGTTGTTTTCGAGCCGATTTAGAAGTTGTATTGTAGTAGAACTCGTATTTGGATTCTTGTTTTCCAAATAGTACAAATTTCTTTCTTTTCAGAAAAGTGTGAATAATTAACAATCCAATTTAGAAACATTTTAGAAATATTCTCTTTACAAATATTGAAGTAGATATCCTATTTGCTTCATAGCACATATATTCGTTCATAGTCAATTAAACTATTTTAAGATATAAAGAAAAAAGTGGTAGCCCAATATTTGGACCTTTTCCCCTATTGTTTCGTTGTTGTTATAATTGTTATAATGAATATAATTATTATGGTTGTCCGGCGATCCGCGCGTAGAGATTTCGAGCGAGAGTTCTTTCTAATCAATCCCTCATTCACAAGGAATCGACGCGAAATAGGATAATTCTTGTGTTTACATATGTACAGGTTGGTTCATTATTGGCGGGATGCAACCGGAAAAGAAGTGACGCCACGTGTGCGAAAGTAGATCGAAAATATAGAATAATGTTTCTTTTACACAGAGCTTCCTCCTCAAAGAGGTCAGTTTTAAAGACCAGTCCCTCGCTTCCTCCCTCCCTCCCTCTGTGTGCGTGCACTTGGCTAAGAATGAATGTAGAATTGTGCATCTCGTTGCGGACGATATCTCGCTAAAATTTGTCGGAAAATTCGCCACAGAGTTGGCAAATCTGTTCTAGCGTGAACGCACGCTTCCCCCAGAGCTTTCTCTTCGTGGTCGGCCACGCGTTCTCGATCGGATTCGCATCGGATGACTGCGAAAGCCAGTCCAAAGTACGCATAAGTATCACTTTCGGCGTTTCGTTTTCGGTACGCGAACGACTGCGACGTTTTGGATCATTGCCGGACCATATTCGACGACAACGGCGATGGGACTATTCATTAGGTAAACGCGCGTTACGTCGCTTGTACAGTGTAACTTCAAATCTCCGTCCTCAAAATAGCAATTTTTGTTTCAGATACGCGGACGGCGCTCTTATGTGACAAATTAATATAACGTAACATTTGTGTATTCACACGGACAGGGAGAGAGAGAGAGAGAGAGAGAGAGAGAGAGAGAGAGAGAGAGAGAGAGAGAGAAAGAGAGAGAAAGAGAGATAGAGAGACGAATAAATCATCTACGTTAATCGCAAATTAAGAAATGAAAAAGACAGAATTAACGTCCAAAAATCATTTGTACTTTCGTTTGTAACGAAATAATACTGTAATGAAACAAATAAATAATTTATACGAAGAATAAGTGTTGTCCGAGTTGACTCTTCCGCAGGTTTTTTTTCTAAAGAACTCTCACTCGAATTCGCAATGTTACCGGTAAAACGATGTCACTGTTAATTTAGAATCTCGCTGTTAGACCAGAAGAACAGTAGGTGCTCTGTTCGCTCTTGCACATCGCGTACATACAGAAAAATATATACTGCATTCAAGTAAATGTTACTTATTTCATAAGCAAGCATTTTATAAGCTTATACATACATCCTTATAAGCTTATATATACATCTGCAAGTATATCGTGAATTTTCCTCATAAACATCAAACTTATTCATCAAACACATTCTTGGCTAGTAAATATGTAAAGAGTTTATGTAAAGAAAATTCTTCTTTTAAGTGCATGATAATGATTTTTTCTCAAACTTGTGATGTGAGACTTGTGATATTTGAAGACTGTTATCAAGAAAATATTCTTTATCGAAGATAATCCTTATTTAAAAGAAGGAAAGTAAGCTGAGCGATCGTTTTTCTTAATAGTAGAATAATATTTTCTGTGTGTACGTAGAACAAGTAATCGTGAACGAAACGAGACACTCCGCGAAGCGTTTTCACCGTCGCAACTTGCGAAATGCCTGTACTGTGCAGTTTTTCACGAACTTGCGGGATATCTCTCAGTCGCATTTGTTTCTTCCTGATGACAATCACTGATATCCAAATTCGCAAAGAACTTCACCCTATCTATTTGGTATGCCGGTGCGTTTCCAGTTGGAGCGTCGGTAGCAGCGGGCAAACTTTCACCGCAGTCACCACCTCCGGCGGTTCACGCTAGCGGCGGACATCAGACGACGACCAACAATGCTCTGCAGTGGCCGAGTCCTCACACGGTGCACGATATCCTAGCCAACAGCTGCAACATACAGACCTCCTCGTCCTCGTCCTCACCGACCTCGCCGCTCTGTCCTGCGATCAACAACAATCATCATCATCATCACAATCATCAAAGCGACAATCCTGCCAGCAACAATAGCAATAATAATGGCGCCAACAACAACAACAATAATAATAACGATCAAACAACGTCGAGCGGTTATCTGCACCCGCATCATCCTCATCTGGCACATCACCATCACCAACAGTATTATGCCTCGGCGCTATATCATCATCATCATCATCATGCGGACAGCATGGCGGCGGCCACTATATCATCCACGCTCTCTGTACAGTCCATTATGTTGCAATCCTCGGGAGCGACGAGTCAGCCGGCTAGCCCTTGTAATTAGGAAAAGCGCGAACCCGGGAGTTGCTTCGCGAATTGATATCGTGATGGATTATCGAATAATCGACGATACGTATGCTCTGCGACGTGAAACACGAGGGAATCTACTTAATATATGTTAGCGCGGTATGTTAACGACGTCGATAATGCGTCATTCGCTTAATTGTGATTGAACGATCGCGAAAGGAAGGAGCGACAGTCTCGTAGCAGAAATTTAAACGGACGAATAATCATCAAGTTTAACGAAAAGAAAAGAGAAACGGTTTTGTACTGTTGTGAAAGAGTTGTACATTTAATATTTTAACGCGTAAGGAATATTAACCAAGTGCCTCTTACGTGCCTCTCTTGTAATAATGTTAAAGTCACAAGTCTGACAAGATCTGTTCTGCGTGTGTGTAATATATTCGAAGAGTGACTGTGTAATTAAGTTAAGGCCGTTAGAGATAATTGTACTTGATAGTTTGTTAATATTCGCATGCGAGTAGACTGTTTTTTCCTTCTTTTTTTTTTAATTAACGTTCCCGAGAAATTCACGAATCTAATGATGGCATTTTCGATTTCCATAAGACTCGTTCGTTTTGTACCGACATAAGGAGACTTGTTAATTATGTTACATAGATAGCATATTTAAATTAATGATACTTTTTTTGACTGTGCTGGTCATTGCTAATATGTATATATATATCGCTGTTAAATTATTTGCGATTCCGCAGACATATCGTTGAGACAATAAAAGAATAGCGCTTACAATTGGCTTATTCTTCTATTCTGTTACCTCATAACGAAAGTAGACATTGATATCAATCGGTTGTGCGTTTCACGTTAAATTGATACATTGAGAATCGTAGAATAGCCTCTACTAACACTCGCTTCACAAAGAAAATGTTGACTAAAGTTATTTTGCTTGATGCACGTAATGAGATACAATCTAATTCAGTCTTATCGTTTAATAGAAATAATATATAATAAATATAAAATGACATTTCGCAGATTGATTAGTATAATGTACTTTGTCACATAACGCAGTTACCGCTATTTGCCTTTGATAGCACGGGATCGTGACTTATCAGCGTTCGTCGTGTCAAATAAAGAATTAGATACGGACACTGTTGCGTAAAATATGGTTTTCGCGCGTTCCGAAACTCATTGGCGAGAGCATCGATATACTTTCGAGTTACGGCCGTGGAGCGTGGCGAGCGTATATAAATAGTTCCGTTCGCTTCAGCTGCACCTTCTGCACTCGGTGCTCTTCGCTTTTGCTCTCTCCGATGCCCAAATGTACGTCCGTTCCGTTCTAAGTGCGAAAAGTGTCAGCAGGTGCAGATAAAACGGAACAGACCTAATATGTCAAATACTAATCATTCGCAAATGGTTATCGTACTTTGACATAGACGTCATATGGGCGTCGATAAAACAGCAAATATGCATTGTAAGATTTGCTCTTATCGCTTCTCATCGTATATTACACATCGTGTACTTACGCTTTTTTCGTGTCGGAATTCACAGTTTGCAGGCGCGGCGGTCCAAATTATAGCATGACGTGTCTTGTCAGCGTGTATTGGACGCATGCGCAATGCCGCCTTACGTGGCATCGGCAGCAGTCACGGTTTCATCGACGTACGTTACCTTCGTTTTCGTGTAAACATTTTTAGCGATATTATATTTCTGTTATGATTCATACATATTTTACGGTATAACGTAAGTATACAGCATTTTACTATAATTGTATTGTGAATTCCCGATTAATGTTATCCTATCATAGTTTGGAATTCAAAACGTCACATACGCTTTTCCTCTGCTAGCCAGTAATTTTTTCAATGTCTTGATCTATTTCACGTTTTATTTAAACGAAAGCTTAAGTTGCGATTACGCATTGATTAATCTGTGTTGTGAAAAGATTATAATCCACTTCACATATAGATTACCTCTTATTTTTTTAAATATTTCTAAATCTTATTTATGTTTTTTGTGTGGTATCGCATATTATTATTAAAGTCATATCAATGAGACCTTACATACTGGGACATATGAAATCTTTTTGTAATCACCTTTCTCTGTACCATTTTTATGTAAATGTCTATGTAATCTGGATTTACCTGTGATAATTTTAATATGTTTCAGTGTGCAATATGTTCCCAATCATGTCTATAATAAATTCTGTTGTAATAGATGCAGCACATTCAGGAAATAGGCACACAGCAGTATGCTGCACCTGTGCCGCCAATGAACAATCAACAAAACTTCTCGAGACCACCAATTGTGGCACAACAAAGTATGCCTGGCTCACAAATGCATTCTCATCTATTACCCACATCAGCAATGGCTCATACTCAAATAACAAGTCCTCCAGTGGCACCTACATCCCACATGTCTCCAATGTTACCAATAGGTCCTCCATCACATGGACAGCCTCCTTTAGGTTATCACACTCAAATAACCAGTCCTTCAAATACCATGCCGCCACAATCTGGAGCAGGATCATACAATTCTGTACCACCATTGCCAGCGCAAACTGTTGCAAGTCCGACAGGTCCAGGCTTGTCACAGTATGAATTGAGACAATTTGCCCCTCCACTTTCAACTGTTGCACAACAACAACAACCACCTACTGCAACTCCTTCGGGGCTTGGGTTCCCTCAGGCACGACCTACGCAGTATATGCAAAATGCACCTTCGATGCCAGGTCAAACAATGACGAATGCTGGTCCTGGAGGACCAATACTGGCACAACCTGGACAAAGGCAATACAATTCCGCACCTCCACTACCAGGACAAGCTTTATCTAGTCCTTTAGGAATGAATCGCATGTCACCTGGAAATACATCAGATTATCAACAACTGCCTGGATATCAACAACAGCCAGGATATCATAATCAAATGGTATAACTGTGTTATAAAGTAATTTCTTCAAATTTTATCTTGTTAATTATATAGGCAAAAAAATTTTTATTGTTATATCTTTCATATAGGATATGTATAACAGTCAAAGAAGCCCATATCAAAGTAGCGTTACCAATACCACAGGATATCAATCAGGACTTCCACCACAACAAGCTAGACGACTTGATCCAGAACAAATGCCGAGTCCAGTAAGAATTCAATTATTACGCATCATATTTATTTGTTATCTTATTGATCGTTATTATTTATTGTTTTGATGTAAACTGACCCAAATTGACGTTGATATGCAGATTCAAGTAATACAAGATGATCAACGCGTAAGAGGTGGAATATTTATTACGAATCAGAGAGGTCTGGTGCCCCCTTTAGTGACAACAGATTTTATAACTCAGGATCAAGGAAACGCGTCCCCTAGATACGTCAGGTCCACTATGTATACTATTCCTACTACTGCAGATATCGTAAAACAGGTATGCTGTATTACAGAGTCGAAACAAGGTAATTTTGAATTTATAGTTTCTCCTTATGTTATCCACATTATATTTCGCAGACCAATGTTCCTTTTGGACTAATAGTAAGTCCAATGGCTCGTATCGTAGAAGGAGAGTGCGAACCGCCGATCGTAGACATGGGTGAAATTGGTCCGGTACGTTGTGTGCGTTGCAAAGCGTACATGTGTCCATTTATGCAATTTATCGACGCTGGCCGAAGATTTCAGTGCATATTCTGTAAAGCTACAACGGAAGGTAATAATTAATATCTCATATATCTTGCATATCTTTTCGTATCAATTGTACTTCTATGTATTCTCTATATTTAGTCCCCGGTGATTATTTTCAACATTTGGACCATACGGGCCAACGTTTGGATCGTTATGAGAGACCTGAGTTGATGTTGGGTACATTCGAATATATAGCCACGAAGGATTATTGCAGGGTAATGAACATTTATAATGTATTTAACAATTTCGTATTTTCCACACAATTATTTTAAGTTTATTGAAAATAATTATAACTGTACATATTACTATATATTTCTTCTTTGTGTAGAACAACGTTTTTCCGAAATCACCAGCCATTGTGTTCTTAATTGAGGTGTCGTATAATACTGTCAAATCTGGGTTAGTAAACTTGCTGTGTACAAAAATGAAGTCTATAATAAAGAATCTACCCGTTGATGCTGGACAAACCAAGAGTAACATGAAAGTTGGCTTTATAACATACAACAATACCGTGCATTTCTATAACATCAATCCTCGTCTTGCTCAACCGCAAATGATGGTCGTTGGAGATATTCAAGATGTATTCATGCCACTTCGAGATGGATTTTTATGTGATGTTGAAGAGAGTGAAACTGTTATCGACAGTCTTATGACACAGATTCCTGAAATGTTCGCTGATACTCGAGAAACGGAAACGATTCTTGCACCCGTTATACAAGCTGGATTAGAAGCATTGAAGGTAACAGAACAGCACTCAAAGAGGAATTACATCTAAGAAAAACAGTATTTTATATATATATATATATTTTTTTTTTATTGGCAATTAGTAGGAACATTCTCAGTTTCATTTACCTTTTCAGGTTTCAGAATGTGCTGGCAAATTAATGGTATTTCATTCGTCTCTACCAATCGCTGAGGCACCTGGAAAATTGAAGAATCGCGATGATCGTAAATTCCTCGGAACAGATAAGGAAAAAACCGTGTTGGGTACATAACTGATTACATGCTATCTAATAATTCTTTTTCAAATAATCTGTAACATATAAAAACGATATTCTATCTTATACAGTGCCGCAAAACAACGTCTATAATAATTTGGGCCAGGAATGCGTAGGCGGTGGTTGCAGCGTGGATCTGTTTATCTTTAATAATTCATATGTAGATATAGCAACGATTGGTCAAATTTGTCGTCTCACTGGTGGAGAGGTTTATAAGTATACTTACTTCCAGGTGAATCATATTTCAATATTAGAAATATATATACACGAGAAACGCGTGATTGGATAGATTTCCAATAAACATTTTTAGCTTGGTAAGAAGATGAGAATCGCTCTTCTCTGTTACAGGCGGATATCGATGGTGAAAGATTAATTTCTGACGTTATTCATAATATCAGCAGACCGATCGCTTTTGACGCTGTTATGCGAGTACGTACATCTACGGGCGTTAGAGCGACTGATTTCCACGGACACTACTTTATGTCCAATACAACTGATATGGAACTAGCTAGTATAGATTGCGATAAGGTATAATTATGTTCTAGTTAACGTTACAATTGCAATATTCCATTACTATATACATCGTTATATATATAGAACAAAGTTATTGTCTAGAGTTTGTTTAAACTTATTTTCATTCTGCTTGATACGGTAATTTCAATTACTTTGTTTAATTTTCTTAAGGCTATTGGGATCGAGGTTAAGCATGATGATAAGCTGGCGGAAGATGAAGGTGTCTACGTTCAAGTGGCTCTGCTGTATACTTCCTGCAGTGGCGTAAGAAGATTACGAATTATAAACCTGAGCCTGAAGACTTCGTCACAAATGGTCGAGCTATATCGGGCATGCGACTTAGATGCCATCATAAATTATTTCTCCAAACAAAGTAAGATGCGTTGTTACGGTTGTAAAGATGATACTCGCTCATATAACAATGCATAATTACGTATACTCAGGTGTTTTCAAATTACTGGAGTCTACTCCGAAAGCGGTAAAAGATCATTTGATTGCGAGGTGCGCGAACATACTGGCCGCATATCGAAAGCATTGCGCATCACCATCCAGCGCTGGACAGTTGATATTACCGGAATGTATGAAATTACTTCCACTTTATATCAATTGTGTAATAAAAGGTGATGCGATGTCTGGAGGTAAAACAACACATATACATGTATATATTTTTTTTTAACATACTTGTACTTCGATCTTACTCTTCTTTTTCTTAGGTGCTGATATGACTATCGACGACAGATCTTTTGTCATGCAAGCGGTTGCGACGATGCCTATTGCGACGTCTATTGTGTATACTTATCCTAGATTGCTTCCTTTGCACGACATTGATCCTCAGGGCACGGATTTACCTCCGATGTTGCGCTGCTCCATTGATAAATTCACAGACGATGGCGCTTATCTCCTTGGTAATTACATTAGTCAACTATATATTTTTTTAGTATTAGTCAACTGTATATATATTTTTTTTTACATGTACAATCGTAGTGGCAATCTCTCACGATTACTTTAAGTTCAATAAGACGATAACTTATTATTATCATTCTTAATGTTCCAGCAAATTATACCAGTATTATTTAACACACTTTGCGCATGTCTTTAATTCGCAGAAAATAGTATCCACATGTTCTTGTGGTTGGGGATGGCTCTTTCTTCTCAATGGGTGCAGGGTGTCTTCGGAGTACCTTCGGTAGTCCAGGTCGATACTGATCGTACTGCACTGCCAATATTGGATACTCCTTTGAACAACAGGATCACAAAAATTATCGATTTTGTACGCGCTGAAAGGCATCGTTGTATGAAAGTGAGTTCAATTAATATAGCACATGAATGGATCGATTGTTATATTAGAATATGGCGTAACCTTGTTTTCGATATTACAGTTGACGATAGTCAGGCAACGTGAAAAACTAGAGATGGTACTACGTAACTTTTTGGTTGAAGACAGGGGAAATGATGGAAGTCCCAGCTACGTTGATTTTCTATGCCACATGCACAAAGAGATAAGAACCCTTCTTAGTCAATAAATAACTCCTTTTTTTTTTAAGTGATCAACTTACCTTCTAACTCAGATTCCGTATTTTTTGCATCGATTATTTGTTATCACATTATCTCGATGGAACACGATCGAGACTTTATATTCAATCATTGTACTTTTATGCGTACATCCGCATTGAAAAAATGGGACGTAAAAAAATATGAAACATAATTTACACACAGAATAGGTTTAGAAGAGGGAGAATGGAAAATAGAGCGGTATATCTTTCGTCGCGAACGTAGAGTCATCTTCTCCTTTTTCGTGAGAAATTGAGCAATAATTGAATTACCGCGTAATCATGCCTTAAGGAGAACTGTTTCAACTAGGACTACGAGGGTCAATTTTTGTTTGCATATTCGTGCCTTTGTGTATCTAGATAGTCGTCTAAGGATAAGTTCTCATGGCGGCATCTTACCTCATCTTCGGAAGCTAGTTTACAACGACACGGTAATTGGATTCTCACTTCAATTTTACAATAAGGGCAAGTTGCAGTCTGCGAAACTGACTGAAGGTTATACATGATGTGTTTGTTATCTGTCTCCGTTCTTCTGAGCTTACTCTGTACGGACATCTATATACGGACTGGCAGGCTGGATTTCAAAGAACATGACGAATCATTCCGACCGATATTCAGATACAAATACGTATGAAAGTTAGACACGCTTGCATCATTCAGTCGTATAGTAAACATATGAATAACTATGTGGATAATGTGAAATTGTATTATCGTTACTTTATTACTTAAGTAGATCATTAATGTTATTACTCCCCCCTATACTAAGTTAATTATATAATAAAGAGTATAGTAAATCTCACAATAAACTTATATATATATAAATATATATATATATATACATATATATATATATCAATGAAAAAATGATAAATGAAAAATTTGTGTTAATATATCAGAAATGCGTGAATAAAGCAATGTAGTATCATTGCAACGCCAAGTACATACAATTAAATGACAAGTTCATAATAATAATGTTAATAATATTGGTTTAAGAGAAATTGTATTTGCGAAAGACCGGGTCTTTTTTTAATTACGCTCGAGAATAAATAAAATGTGGGTAAATTGGATTCTTATTGTGATCTCTGCAACGAACAGACATAGATAAAATTATAGAACTATAACTAACTAATTATAACTGTAACTAACAAGTCTATTGACACATCGCCGAATTGATATTACAAAGAGACGTTTGACCTATAAAATAGAATATTTATGTTAATTTTAATGATATTGTATTTTAATAATTTTATCTCAGTTTATATATGTTGTTACGCGCGCAATGCATAAGGTATATTATAGAATAATACTATCATTGATACGCAAGATTTTGCATACTATGTGATAGATGGATTCAAATTTAACCAAGAGAGTTCAAAGATAAATCCTTTATCAAAATGTCCAAATTATACATGGACATCTTGAAACAGAACTAAAGAAAAACCACGCGTCCTTATTAATCCCCACCGTTTGCCGAAAAACGTACAGATGCAACGGTGTGACGTAGGTCTTCACTTTCACTCCGCAGCCGAGTGCGAGTATACGTTCGCACGTAATCGCATTCCGATATTCGCGATATTAAGAAAGGTCGATCCACCACTTCAGTCTATCAGCCGCGTCGCCGCTACAAGACGCATTGTAAGCCATCGCTCGTCGATTATGATTGATTATCCGCGGGAAATCTTCTGGAGGACGATAATACTTGTTTGAGAAAAGATCACCGTGTGAGAGATGCAGTATCGCGGTTTTTTGCGATTTCCATTTGCGATTGTGTAACTTGTACCAGTTTCCACGTTCTGTTTCAAGGACTCGAATATTATACGTGAAATACTTAAAAAAAAATACGAACAATGAATGGATTCAATTGCTTCGACAACAAAGTAATATTCGACGAAGCCTGTGTGAATGTGATATCGCACAATAGCAATCATGATTCCTTGTGGCTTTATTCGCTCTCTACCGACTGCTTGTCGGTAAGTACAATCGCAATACGGTGGTTGCTCTTGTGTAATTTTTAATCCCACCATGAATCCTCTCTCATTATTGCAAGCAAATATACTAGCGAGATGTACGATGATTGATTGATAACTACATATCGTTATTGTGCGACGCGTAATCGAGCTTCCGATAATTTAAATTACGAAGATAACGAAGATGCTCGTTATGCAGCAAGAAAGAAACTCTTATTAGCGAGATATGATTCGCGGAATCTTCAACAAAATGCACGTCGGAGGAAAAGTCATGGACCGTACAAATGCAATACTACCGGTTCTCAAAGAGAAGGCGATGAAATCGCCTGCGTGTTCCCCTGTTTATTATATATTTATTATATGTCTACGAATTTTCTTGTCAACAAAATTATTAAAATTTTGGTTAATCTTTATGCTTCTTTAGTGTCCATATAAGCGGCTGATAAATATTCCCACCACCACCAATATCAGCTTGAAATTCGCTACGGTTAAAGCGGTAAAGTGGAGAGTGCTGGATAACGATGGCGTCAAAGAGTATATATCTGCCAAGGACAATAGGTAAATTCACTATTTAACATGATAATTCAATACACAATTTGATGTATTTTGATTGATGTATTTTTATGTATACATCGTAAAAGATCCAATCAGAATGTGCGTTTTAAAAGAATTATATTGATTATATACTTTGAATGCTTTACGTCCGCATCTCTTGCTCTGTGCGTCCCCTTGCGCGTGTTATTTGACGTTCACAGAAATTTTCTTTTTAGCAATATTTTCTGCGAACTTTCGCCAAATATAGGACAATATGGCTTGTACGAATTGGCGATACAAAATGAGAAATGTAATTTTAGAACTTTGAGGAACTCGACGTATCCCTACACAGGTATATTTCTTGACACTTTCGAAAATCTTGCGAGCAATGATCGGCAATATCATGTACAAATCGAGATAATTAATAACGCAACGACGATAAAGTGTATCTAATGTAAGCGATTTATCATTGTTTATCCGTGGAACATGATGTACGATATGATAACGTGATTAGAAAGATGCAATGTTATCAATAAGGTCCGAAAGAAGATAATCGTAATGATCGAGAGATCGATTAAAACAAATTGCGATTTTAAATCTTTTGAGGATTAAATTCCCGTTGTGTGTTGATTCTTCAAGAAATCAAGAAAGAAATCGCATTCTCCTCGATTCTTCTATTTCCGAAGTTCGAGAGTCTCGAAAAAAAGAATCAGTCACGAAAATAAATGCTGTATCTATATCTCTTACAAGTAAACCTACCCAAAAGGTACACTCCAATTTCTTTTTAATTTACCACAAATGTAGAAGTACAAGAAATATTTAGGTCATATTTTTTTACACGAGAAAAAAATTCACTAAATTTCAAAAAACGTTTGTTTTACTGTGTATATAATACTGTGAAGATATTTGTTTAAATTAAGTAATTATTTTCTAGAATTAAAAAAACAAATTTATATTTAAAACTTATTTATTTAATTTTAGAAAATAATTACTTTATTTAGACAAATATCTTCACAGTACTGTCCAAACATTTTTTGAAATTTAGTAAATTTTTTTCTCAGTATACTTTGGCCCATTTTGAATTTCACGAGCAGTTTATAGCTTTTTAATGTTCTCACTCCTATCATCAATAAGTACAACAAAAATGCATAAGAAATAAAATTGAATACAAGATAGAGTTAAATAATTTTAATAAAATCCGAATAGCTGAGACACGAACTATCCTAAATTTCTTTAGGCGAGATTTTAACCGAAATATTTTAAATCTGTGCTAAATTAATAAAAAATAGTTCGAATCTCGGGCAAACCGAAATCCGACAATTTTAATTGAAATTTTAACAAAATTGGCATACTGAGATACGAACTATTCTAAATTTCTTTAGCTGAAATTCTAACCGAAATATTTCAAATCTATACTAAATTAATTAGAAATGGTCCGAATCTCAGCTAAACCGAAAAATTTATTTGTATAAGTAATTTTTTCTTAACTTTTTACATGTTTTGTTTAAACTTTTTATTATTTATACAAATAATTTTACACATTTGACTTCATATTTATAATCAGCAAACTAAAAACGCCTATATCTTATATTCAATTATTTCTTAATGCATTTTTGTTATACTTGTTGATGATAGGAGTGAAAACATTAAAAAGCTATAAACTATCCGTGAAACAAAGTAGGCTAAAATGAAAAAATATGACCTAAATATTTTTTGTATTTTTACATTTGTGCCAAATTAGAAAGAAATCGGAGTATATCTTTTGGATAGGTTTACTTGTTAAAGAAGCTCAAAATAAGTTGAGACACATTATTTTAATTAATGATACAAGCCAATCATTTACAGAACTTTTTGTCATTTTGGGAGTAATCGTGTTGATCTTACTCGGTATATCCGCCGGGAGATCTTTATGGTACATGTACAAAAATCGATATGGAAAAAACGGAGAGGAAGGAGCAACTAGCAAGGAACCGACGAAACGTCGCGTGAAAGCTATCGACGCTTTCAGGGGGTACGCGTAATAGCAAATAAAAAATAAATTAAATCATGCTAATGCGAGATCTATATAAAAAAAACTGATGTGTTAAAGGTAAATTTTCTTTTTTTGTTTCGTACGACACAGAGCCAGCACTCTCTTTATGATTTTCGTCAACGATGGCTCGGGCAGTTACTCTGTGTTAGGCCATACAACTTGGAATGGCATGTTGCTTGGTGATCTTGTATTCCCCTGTTTCATGTGGATCATGGGGGTTTGCGTTCCCATAGCTTTGTCGGCGCAGTTGAAGCGCGGAGTTTCGAAGCTCAATATCGGTCTCACTGTGTTAAAGGTACATACATGCAAACTAAAAGTATCAATTCTCGAACCTATCTAATCTTGAACACTCTTATTGTGTTGATGTCTTTAAATAGAGAGAATTTAAAAATATTTAAACTTTCCACATATATAAATATATATTCGATTAATTACGACTATTAATCGTACATTAATGAAAGATCATCTACGAACATTCTGATCTCGTCCTGTGACAATTCTTGATTTTTAATTTAAAAATATTTAAACTTTCAACATATATAAATATATATCCGATTAATTACGACTATTAATTGTACATTAACGAAAGATCATCTACGAACACTCTGATCTCGTCTTGTGACAATTCTTGATTCTTAATTTTAATAGCACAGATTATCCCATACAGAACAAATATCCAAAATACATTTCATGGATATCCTATAGATATCGCAATATCTATAGGATATCCATGAGATATATTTTGGATATTTGTTCTGTACGGGACGATTAACGCTTAACTTTTTAAAATCAAGAAATATCATTCAAAGAGCTTCTATGATATCACGATACACTCGAAAGATACTATAGTAGATAACTTTTTCACAGAGGAGCTTTTTTCTATTTCTGATCGGCGTCTCGTTGAACACATTGGGTACAAACGCGCAAGTGGAAAAAATACGTGTGTTCGGAATTCTTCAACGACTTGGAATTACTTATTTGGTTGTCAGCCTAATGTACCTTGGCTACACGCCCTCACTTCAGGGCCAGGTACGAGAAGGTTAAACACGTTTGTCGTGTGTGGACGTCACTTACAAAATTCATTTGTAATTTGTAGAATTCACCGCGGAATTCAGTAACGCGCGTTTTAAGGGACATACAGGTCCTCATACCGCACTGGTCCTTAATGCTAATCTTCGTGATAGTGCATTGCGGTCTGACGTTTGGTCTCGCCGTTCCCGGTTGCCCCACGTACGTAGCTCGATCTCGATCAGTACGATTTCGACTGTTTACTAACAAAGCCATCCGCCGTTAATAAATAATAACAAATGAGTTTAGTGGCTATCTCGGTCCGGGCGGCATACACGAGGACGGTAATTATTTTAACTGTACCGGAGGCGCGGCTGGATACATCGACCGTATTATATTGACCTCGGAGCACATTTACACGAGACCGACCATTGCTTCGGTTTATGGATCCGGTCCTTTCGACCCTGAGGGAATTTTAGGTAATCGCTGCTTCCACACACACCATAATTACGTAGCTATTTCACATTTGTGACAAATATCACGCATTTTTTTCGTTTCAGGATGCCTCACGGCGATATTTCAGGTGTTTCTCGGCGTACACGCCGGTGTAATCCTTATAATATATAAGGATTGGAAAGGACGTGTCATTCGATGGCTTCTCTGGGCTGTATTGTATGGTGTTTTGGGATGCGCCCTTCACTTCAGCAACGTTATACCCGTCAACAAGAACTTGTGGTAAGGTATCAACGAGTTTTATCAACCACCTCAGTATCGTCTCTTTATCGTAACGATTTTACTTCAACTCGGCGATTAACAAGTTTATGGAGAAATGGTCAGGATTAAAAATTGAGTTTCGATGTTTGTTCGTGAATATTTAAGTGTAAATGAATGAACATACAGGTCTCTCTCCTTCGTGTTCGTTTCAACCGCTTTCGCCTTGGCTTTCCTTTCCGGATGTTACTTGCTGATCGATGTTGTCCGAGTTTGGCGGGGCGGTCCTTTCAGAATAGCCGGTAAGTGATACTTTGTCTGGAGAATTTGTCAATAAGCGGATGTCGATTCGTTGAACTTGTGTTAAACGCGACGAAACGTTCGAGTGAAAATACGTCGGAAACAGCTACTAATTTATTCTATCATATTGCGCAAATAATGAATATAGGTATGAACGCGTTGGTGTTATACGTGGGCCACATGATGTGTTACCAAATCTTTCCGTTCCACTGGCGGATCGGCGCGATGGACAGCCGTGCTTTGAATTTCATCGAGTCGATTTGGGTTGTGGCACTCTGGGCGATCATTGCATACGTTATGCATCACAAACGCACGTACATCACGCTTTGAGCTACGTCTATTTATGAAATATCTTGCATTTGTATCGCATTTACTGTGTCTTCAACCTAAGAATAGGTAACCAACTATACAGATACATTATGTAATCCGTACATCACGCGACATATTGAGATGGCAGAAACTTGCTCGCAAGTAAAATGTAACTTTAATTGCATGTATGTACGTCACGAATTTTGTACACTATTTCCAAGCAGGAGCAGCGACATTGCACTTTCGGTAATGAACAATTAAATAATATGCCGAGGCACAGGTTTCAACTTTACAAATAATTTATTGTACAACTTTATGGATATATATGCGTGTGTATAAGTAGTACATTGACAAATTCAGGTAATAAGGATTACCTTCAATTTACGTGTAGATATATTCTCGAGTAATGATTAATATTCTTAAAGAGAACGTTATAATTTTCATGACGAACCATCGATCTTAAATAAAACAAACCACATGTTTCTGCTCAAAATATTGCGACACTTCGACGATACGGCCAACCTCCTACACAAGAGACGATTCGATCCTCAGATTCTATCAGACGTCACGGGTAAAGAGATGCTTTCTCGAGGAATCTTTCGAGAAGTCCCGTGAAGCAACTGCAACGTCTTTATTATGAAATTTCAGATTCATGTTTAAGTGAATTACTTCGACCAAATGCACATACGTTCAAAGCGTTTCTAACAATTATTAAAAAAAAGCATAATTAGCAAAATGTTCTCGTATTATACCGAGAAAATAACGAGTCAGTTTCTCAACGAAACAAGTCTCTAATGCAAGTAGACAGTTCGAGACAAGTTTGGAAATTGTCTTTGACGGCAGTGTGAAACGTTTCATGAGTTTATATCGTCAACAATTCGCAATCCTCTCTGAAGGAATCTTCGGTTCAGTTTTTTCTTTCTTTTTTTTTTCATTTCGTTGGAGGATCGGCTAGGCGCAACATGGATGAGCGTTGGTGAATTATCGCGTAAACAAAAAATAGAAAAAAGCACACTAACAATTTGACTTTCCCTAAGGAGGATCCCGTCCGACCTCCCTCAATAATCGGTTGCGTCGGGATCTGAAAAAACGAAGAATTCGGCTCTTTAGGAACGATCATTCGCTGTGACAAGCGCGCATGTGAGAATACAGAGTTAAAAAAGATATACCATAAATCGTGTACTGTGTTCTCATGGACAATATCATGTACGAGACAAGTGTTGGTCGAAAGTGCGGACATCGTTCGATTTGTATGTATATTGTACACATGTGAATGTTTCTAATGATACGATCGATCTTCGTTGCTACTCTACGTTACGTCGTTCCCGTGCATCCGCGGTTTGATTAGCGAGTGAAACCCCGAAAAGAGAACACCACGTGTCGTATGTGCGCGTCTCGTTTTAACTACCGTGAGTACACCCCATCCTCCTTCCTCCTCAACCGAGCGACGGTCTCGTCACGCCGCGTTCTCTCGTCATCCAAATAATTATATGAACACGAATTCACTTGTGTTCCTTAATCAGTATTAGTCACAACATGCACAAAACAACCAAGCATCGATATGTAACAATCAAGACCATCGCGAGATGCGACTGCGAGACAAGAGGGAAAGAAGAGAGAAAGAAAGAACAGAACGCGGAAGAAAAGAGAAAAAAGAGAGTGAAGAAGAGAAGAGAAAGACAAAAAAGATGCGAAAAGGCAAAAAGGAATTATTTTACGATCGAGCTAGCAGTGTTCGATAGGTTGCAAAACGATTGGGAACTCACCAAACTGTCAAAACTGAGAATCGTTACTGACAGACTCATTGTAATAATATAATTATTAATATGTAATTAAGAACATTAAATAATAATGAAAAATAATAACACTAATAATAATTAATAATATAATTATTGAGCAAGCCCGTAAATAATGACAGTTCTCAATTTTGACAGTTTGGGGAGCTCCCAACTTCATCATGCCTAAACCATTTTGCAATTCATTGTATGCACAAAGAAAGAGAAAAAGAGAGAGAAAGAAAGATCAACAGGCATTCGAGAAAGAAGTGAAGAAAAGGAAAGAGTGGGAAAGAACGTGGAGAAGAAATCAAGAACGATACACGAAGATATATATGGAAGCGATATGTACCGATAGAAAAAAAATCACGTAGCCCGGTAGCACCTCGGGCTCTCGCACTCAGCCCGCTGTCTTGCGAATCGAGAGAAAAGATACGTCCGTGGATCGTGGGGAGCGGTCTCGTCGCTCACGGCCAAACGCACGGGGTCTCATTCTGCCCTGGCATGTCAGCAATAGTTGGCGTTAGCACTCGCGCAGGATGTCGACGGGATAGGAAGGACCGTCGGCGGCGGATCGTTAATCTTGCCGGGCCTCTGTGGCGCGGTCTGAGGAGTGCGTGCCTCCTTCAAGGCGCGCGGCACGCTCTTGGTGCTCTTAATCCTTGGGCAGAGCACGTTCACCTTGTAGGCCCAAGAGGGCATCTTGCTATCGAGAATCTTGTAAGCGAGCGAAGGCACGACGTCGTTGTGCAAGTTGGCCGGCCTCGGGTTCTTCCAGGTGCGGAAGTACGGGTCGTCCTTGTGAAGTGGAGGAATCACCTGTTCCGACTGACTCGGCGCATGGTCCGTGTTCCTGACCGGGTTCTGCGAGCCATTCGTCAAGCTCGCGTCATGGAATCGCCGCCAGGACTGCTCGTGAATGGGCGAGTACTCGGGCGAAGTCAGGCCACTGGAGTAATTGGAGCAATAGCTGTCGTCGTAGTTGAAGACAGTGTTCGTGTTGAGAGGCAGGCTGAGATACTCTTTCCTGGAAGAGGCGTTCATCTTGTAGTCGGAGGGGGATTCTTGAATAGAGTCGTCGTTCAGCAGCCGGAAGAGCCGCGAATGCGTCTGCGTGCGTTGGTATTTCTTCGAGTTTTTGGAGGACGTGCACTCAGAGTCTGTGTCGACTTCGGATATCATGCGACTTAGGTCGGAGGTCACGCCGCTGTCCTCGTCTTCGTCGGTGTCCTCGCGAGAATCTTGCACGCTTAGCAGGCGCTTCGTCTCGCTCGTTGTTTGGTTAACCTCGGGATTGATGTATGAGTCCTCCTCCTTATCACGCGTTATCCTGCTGTTATTTTCGTCCATTTCGCTGTTGCAGGAAGTGTCGATTACTCGGACTTGGGGTGTTTCAAGGTCGTCCTGCGTCAAGGAAGATTCAGACTCGGCGAGGACCCTCGGCTCGAGATCGTCGCGGACGGAATCAATCACGTCAACGTGGTTTTTGTCTTTTAACAAGACGTCTCGCGCAGGAGTCGTCGACTCGACGATGTGATCGTCGTCGTCGCTCGACGTTGATCCTGCGGAGCTCATCTTGTCAAGTTCCGTCGTCGTAGCCGTAGATTCTGTCTCCGCGTGTTCCTCGCGGCTGCTTTCATAAGTCCTCGATCGGTCCTTCCTCAAAGTGAAGTTTACTTGCGGTATGGTGACTTCGATTCTCGAGTCTTCTGCGTCTCCTTTCATCGCGTTACGTGTGTCGTCCGTGCTCGCGTGTCTTTTAATCGTGAAATCCACGCTGGTATCATTGCCGACGTGAAAATTGACGCTGACATCCTCGTCGTCGTCGTCGTCGTCGTCGTTCACTTCGTAGTTCTCCACTGACTGTCCGCTTTTCAAATCGCGAGGCTTCTCCGCCCTGATCTTGCTGTCGCCGACGATCACGGTGGTGATGTCCTCGTTGTTCTCAGACACGAAGAACTTGAACCTGAGAGGCAAGCTCACGCTGACCATCGTGGGCTCAGAGTCGTCTGGAGGATCGTCGGTCGCCTCGAAGGCAGCTTCTTTCTCTTGTCCGTTGACATCTTGTCCGTTGTCTCTATCTTCGTAACAAGGACTTTCGGAATCTTGCCGATCTGTGTCGTTATTGATAACATTTAATAGACGAGGAACGATTGTCGCCTGCTTCACATCTGACTCGTGATCGTTGGGATTCGTCTTGTCCGATTCAAGGAAATCTTCGCTACGTCCTCGACCATTTAGGTGATCCTCGTTGTATCTTGCCGTCGCGATACTATTTTGCTCAGATGTTTTCTGAGAACCGAAATCATCTGAGTACTGAGGACGATCCTTCCTGAAACGGGATTTGTCTGCACTTTCCGAATCGTCCACGGAGGAATCGCGATTTTCCGCGCTGGTCGTACATTCCGAGCGAGCAGCCGCGAGGTCCGCGCGATTATCCTCGGAAAATCCTGCGGACCCGCGCGACTCTTTATCTGGCTTCTCGTGCGGATTTAGACCCGTCGAGTACGCCATATAGGAGTCCGAGTCGCTGTCGGACGAGGAGTTGTTAGAGGACGTGGTGTCGTCTCTGCGGCTGGAGCTCTTCCGCCGCGAGTCCGAGAGCTGTTCGTTGTCGGAAGTGGAATCGTCACTGGAGGAATCGTCGTCGTCGCTGGAATCGCTGGAATCGCTCGTGTCCACATACGTGTAATTCGGCACGTTGATGTGCAGACCAAAGGTCTTTTCCAGCTCAGCATTATCTGAGGACGCAGAAGCCGCGGTGTTCTCGTGGCTGTCCGGCAGACCGCCTTCCTCGTCGATTATATTCATCGCCGTGACAATGCCATTCCTGTCGACGTCGCCGTTCTCGCCGACTCCTCCTCGCTGATGGCACTTGGGGCCATGTGTGCCGCTCGATTGTGCGTCCAAGTGATTAATTTCCTCGGGCAAAACGGTACCATTCGACTCGTCGTCAGGCAGGTCGCTTCTCATGAGGCGTCTGTCTTTCTGCGCGAAGGACGAGTCGGTCGCAGACAGTCGATCATGATCATCGTAAGCGTTCGCATCCATGTGTGATTGCTGATGGTGACCGTTGCGGTCCGGTTCCGAGTAAACTGGCTTGTTCTGGCCGGTCGACGAGAGGCTTTCTCGGCGCGTCACTTTGACCCGTGCAAGATCCGCGAGGTTTTGATCGTAAAGCGGATAAAAGGGTTCGTAGCCGACGTACACGTTTCCGTCCGGACACGCGTAAGGAGGGAAGGAATGTTTATTCGCTTCGTCGTCGGCGGGTTCGCTGAACGGCACGTTATACTGCACCGCGGGATAATAGCCCCACCAACCCTCGGGATACCAGAAGGGAACGGGTGGAGGAGGGAGAAATACACCCTGCTGATTGCCCGGCAAGTTATTCTCTGTTCGGCGGGTGTAATCCGCTTGACGATTTTCTTGCGTGGCTACAACAAACAGCACAATGCATTCAGAAGAAAGTTAAATCCTTCACACACCGAACATGATGCGACAGCCGTGTGCGCGCTCTCCGTCCTTTAACTCGTTTTCACCCCCGCGCCTGCGAGAGAGATTATCCTTTTCTTTTTTTTTCGCCCCCATAAATCGCGCGTCCTGCGTGTGCGTTGCGTGTGTGTTTGAACCCCCGCGGAGCGATTTCTATTCCACGTTGCGAATGGAAAATCTCGCCTACATCGATAATAATCGCGAGCAGCTCCGCGAGGCTTTCATCCGCCATTGGGGCGACGCTATTGGATCTCCGAAGCTGCACGCTCTCTCCTTTCATGTTACAACATGTACATAATGTACATAGTCGATTTTTCTTTCCTTTTTCTTTCCTTAAGTCGGTAGAATATGTTGGCATAATGATACGAAATAAGCGAAATTATCGGTCAGCTAAGGGAATGAGAGAAACAACTGATCCTGTGTTCAAAGGAAAATCACGGTCGGGAAAGCAGCGAATGTCCAAAATCGAAATCTCGTGGCGAGCAATTCCGAGCTCTTCTGATCGCGTTCCAAATAAGACGGAAGAGAATTGGCACAGTCGAAAATTGTCACGTCAACGTGATGTCAACGTGTACTCTAAATATAGAGATGGGCGATGAACTGATGAACCGACGTTCGATTTTTACTTTTCCAATATTTTTGTTAAAGATGATCTGTCTGTTAAATATGATAGGTCGAATATATAATAATAATAGTTAAGAATCTTGATAAGTCGAAGATCTAATTTAATTATCTCTTGATTACTAAAGCATATGGTTTCTGTTTGTTTCTGTAGTATTTCGTAAATACTTGATTCGAATTAACCAGAAGTCTGTACTACAAAGGTTTTCTTTGGTATCGCCCATCCCTATCATAATACTAACGCGTCGAAAGAAATACATGCTTAATAGATGTACAGAAGAATACATTCTGACGTGTATGCAACTCTCGTTTTCGTACGATTCTTAATATAATCAGAGTCAAGATACCCATAACTAAGTACATGCAAGTAACCACTTTGCATTATTGAGTGAATACCAGCGGTAATAAACACGAAATCATTAATATGTCATGCAACATTCCCGTTAATTTCTGTAAATCACCTGCGCTGTGACAATAGCTATGCATGTATGTGTACCTATGCATCAGAATTCTAATGCATTACCAACGGAAAAGAAAGAACACGGCGAGATCAAATTGTGATTTCAAAGAAGAGAAATGTAAAATGAACTCATTGCTGAACGTGATGTCTTATATCTTCGGGGTTTATTTCTTTCCTCTTTCTTTCTTTCTCTCTTCGACCGTAGAAAACGTTAATTAGAAATGTTCGCCAAAGGACCGATATATTTAGTCGAACTCGTTTCGACCGATATGTAATGAGGTAGCAAGTGAAGAAAATTTCGTTATTCCTGTGAACACAGGATTCGGGAATGTTCCAGCGATGCCACTTATGTTACTTCAATAAAATATTCATTAGAATATAAAGCGCTTATTATTATTACGGAACATTAATATACAGAGGTGAATAAGCTTTCACGATTAATTTATGAACGAAGAATGTGTGGGTCATATCAAAATAAAGTAAATTATTAATGCCTACACGTACACAGAAATAAAAATGTCACGAGATAGTAACGGAAAATTGTTCCCTCCGGCGATTGAGAATCGACGGGCTTCTTTTATACCGAAAAAAATGATAAAAAATAAACGCAAGAGAGACCCTCTGGAGACATTCGTGGCGCTCTCAAAGTTACCCGATCGCCGAGATTCTGTTAAAATTTCTTCTTCTTCATTTTCCATACTCACCGATACTTTCTGGTGCTGTCATCGCCTGTAATATCCTGAAGGACCGTGAAGGAATAGCACTACCCATATACTTCTTCGGTTCTGGGACTTGTTGCTCGCTCGGCGGCAAGTTCGCCTGCGTTTCTTCTGCGTGGCAAGCAACGCGTCATTAAGACTTTCCTTACAACTGCTCTCGAACATTTTTTGAAAGGTTCAAACTTACTTACCGAACGATTTTGAATTTCTGTTTTGCTTCTTATTCGCAACGTTCTGTGGATTACGTGGCGCTGAAACAAACAAAAGAAGAGTGTCTGTTGTTGAGCACGCTTTTTTGTACTTCTTTTCTCTGATTCATTTCTCAGGTAAACTTTGCTTTACCTGCGCAAGTAACTGAAGCGTCAGTCGAGTCAGTCATATTTTGTAAAAAGCGAAAAGCTCGTGAGGGTATCGCCGCACCGCGATATCTCGGATCTTCCTCTTGATGAAGATAAGTCTCATGGTCGACTGTTGAGAAATAATATATTATTCAGTGAGAAACTATCTAATTAGATAGTAATATATTGCTAATTATCTGCATGTGAGGTTTATTTTACTTTTTGGACGCTACACCAACAACCAAGAAAAAAATGATAAACCTTGTTCTTTAAACTTATTCATGAGCACCCTCTCGTCTTCGCTCAGCTCCATTCTGCGAATTTGATCTGCGCCCACGTCGTTGGATGTATCCGTGTCCGTAATTTTTTGAAGAACACGGAATGATCGCGATTGGACTGGGCCGGTTTCGTGCTGCTGAGCAGGGACTGGAGTTCTCTGTTGCACACTGTCGAATATATAAGCAGTACAGTTGATAAAATAAAAAAAAATGATCAAATAAATTAGGCAAGTGGTCATTCGCCAATCATCTTTAATTAATAATTCAAAATTTTACGTGGTTGTTTGCAAAGTAGTTGAGAGGAATTTTGTGTTTGACTTTTAAATCTACATATACACGAGATATGAGACACTTAACGCCAGAAACACCTTGTACAATAGATAATTAAATAATAAAATAATTCGGGTCATCGTCTAGTTGCTTTGCCTCGCAAGTTCTGTATCTTCAAAGTCTCAGCCGATTAACGAATTAAACTTACACCTTAGGACCTCTTCCAGTCGCGTTACTTCCGCCGACATTCGACTGCGGTGTCTTCTTGTCGTTACCCTCCACCACAATGGGAATTATGTAGGTGCCAACCGTCTGCTCGGGTCGGGACACGACCATGACGTGAGTCTGCGGCTGCTCCTGATCCTGTGGCTGGCTTTGCATCTGACTTTCCGGACTCTGCCCGGACGCTTGACCCCATCGTTGTTGATGATGCAGGGTCGGAGGTTGTTTGAACTGATGATGGCCAGGCTCGCGCTTCGCATCGAACACTGATGGTCTGTCTTCGATCTGCGAAACGTAGAAATGATTCGGGATAAATAAATCGACGATGACGGAAGTCTGTGAGACTGAGAAGCGCGCGAGGAGTTCATGACTCACCCGAATAGGTATGATACGCTCATGCGTCTGCGGATTAGTTCGCTGAGACACCGCGGGATCAGTGTTCTGCTTTTGCTGCCACGTCGGTTGAGTCTGTTGGGGCGATTGTTGGGACTGCTGTGGTTTCTGTTGCGGAGTCTGATATTGCGGCGGAGGTTGGTATTGCGCGCTCTGCTGCTCCTGCTCCTTTGGCCTTACCTGCGCACGCTGCGGAGGCGATTCTCGCAACGGCGGCTGCACCTGGATGTAAACCGGAGACGTCGGGGACGGCGGGCACTCCAACGGACTGGCAACCGCTTTGTTGACGCTCGTGCGTTTCGCCCACTCGGGCAATTCCTCCTGAGGCTTGTTCTTATTTTGGAGCCAAGGCGTCGGAGCCTTGGCCAGAGTGACCTGCGTCGGTGTGTTCGGACTCTCAGGGGTGCTCGACTGACTCGACGTTACCGCGATCGGCACAATCTTCGTATCGATCTTCGTGATGTTCTTCGGCGCTTCAGCTGGCTTATCCGCAACTATCGGAGAAGAACAGTCGACCTGGTGAGCTGGAAAACGCTTCTCGTGTTTTCTCGGGATTACTCAGTCGCGACGAAATTAGATTGTGTGAAATGTAAGAGGCGTGAAAACGATTGTTACCATTCAACGGCATCCTATTGACCGCGGCTGGCTGAGACACCCTGTTGACCTGGGGCTGTGGTGGAACGTTGGTGGGAAAAACGGGTATCGCTACCTGCGGCTGTACGTAGAGATTCGGCGTGGTAGGAGTTGCAGGCGACGGCTTTGACTCGAGGGCGGATTTCGGCGGCCCCTCGATGCCCTCGTCATTGGCATTTTTAGCCACTCTTCTCGCCATTCGCGGGCTACGGATTTGCGAGAGATCCAACTTGCCGCCCATACCCGGCGTGTAGGTAAAAGGTTTCTTATCCTTCGTCAGCATCGCATTCTGGATGGCTGCCGGCGGCTCGTAGGCATCGTTATTACCCATCTGTGGCCTCTTCGTCGCTGCGCTCTAAATGTCGCGAGCAAAATAAAAGAAGAGTATAGTTTCGTCGGTGAATTATTGCTGTGTTGTCGCTACGACAAATCGCGCTGTATCGGCAAGGACGACAATCTAAATTTAAACGCCGACTTTTCTCTCGTAAACTTCGATCAGGTTTTGAAAATTATCATTCTATTAGTCTCTGAACAATAATTCTCCATTTCAGCAGTTGATTTCACCTCACCTCGGCAGTGTTAATCCTCATAGTTGGCAGTTGACCAGACGTCGGAGGTGGAGGAGGCGGTGGTGGAGGCGGTCCTGAAATCATGCACAAATTATAGACGATACTGAGACGTGAACATTAAACTTGCAATTGTGACTCAATGTAACTTTAACACCAATTTGTAGGATGCAATATGTTTACGTACCTGCAACCATGACATCTGGATTCCTGAAATCAAATTAAATTATTTATTAAATATCTATCTAGTCGAGTTGTATGTTATTCGTTTCTTAATTAAACATATAAAGGATGTCTCATCAATTTTACTAAAGCTATAGTTTTCTTGTGTCAGGTAATAGAAATTTAACTTTGACATCATTAGGAAGTGCGGCTTATTATCACAAAATCCGCTTATTAAATAATATATTCGGATAGAATAAAATCTTGATTTTACGGGATATGTCAGGAAAGTACATGTGGAAGGCAAACACGAATTCTACTTCTTCGTTTGCATGAGACGTTGCTATCTTATCTGCGGAATGGAATTACTTTGAGGATGAGTCATCTTGCACGTATTCGTACTTGCACACGTACGTTATATTTGCATAGCACATACACATACACACACACACATATATATGTATATATATATATATATATATATATATAAAGTATCTTAATGTAATAATAATGTTATATTTAAAAAAAATATATCTTTTTGGATAATTAAGATAATTAAATGTATATTTCTTTTTAATAACATATTAACGTTTGTATAAGCACGCGAGTGGAATAAATGCGATTAACAACACGATTATGATTTCGATCAAAATACTTTTTGAAAACTTACAAGACCTACATTTGATTTTACGAAGCGCACAGGTCGACTACTCATAGGGCAATGATAAGATTTATTTTTTCTCCAATAACACATGTTAAACTGTGTCGATGACGTAACTAAATCGGGAGCGTGAGAGATATCTGATTTATCGGTGATACTTTACTCGTCGGCTGTTTGTGTGCGTGCGGTGTATGTGCCGGATACGTATAATCGGGCGAAGGTTGATTAGGACGTTTCGCAATACGCCAGGCATTTCCTTAAAAGGACCAGGCAACGTTTACCGCTGGGATCACCAATGTGTGATCGGAAAATATCCCGTTTAAATGTAGGTTGCCGTTCACCGTCGAGAGATTCGAGGTGCCGGATAAAACGCAAAGAGGATTTTCAACTTGCCAGTGCGTGATGTTGCGAGTTAAACGAACAGTCCCGAGGAACTTTCCGTTAGTCGCTTGTGTTTATTCAAACTTGAAATTACATGTAGTTTTCGATCTATTTTCGATCTCCGCGAACTCAGCTCAAGGTGATTGACCCTCGCAAAGAGAGCAAGCGTCGTGAGATGCTAATTGTCAAGGACTCAGACGACATTTATTTACACGATACACATTGCGCTAACAATATACCAATTTTCATTGTCAACAAACTGACAGAGAGTTCAAACTGAATTCAAAAAGAGGATTTTATTCAAACTCAGTCATATAAAATGCCGATCTTTGAGAATAACGCAAATTCTGCATGCTAACATTCACTAAATCATAAAAGTAAACAGGCAATTAATGCATGAATGTGGGACGCAATGATCTCATTGACATCTTGGAATAATAGATGTATGAGTAAGCGATTCATTCGAGGATCTGACGATCTTCTGGCAACGAGTACGGAAACCTAAAATTATAATAAAAGATCTTCAAGACAGAGAGAGAGAGAGAAAAGAGAGAGAAAGAGAGAGGAGTCCCTCTTTCCTCTTTCCCGGCATCGCAGTGGAGCAATGGCGTTTTTATCTTGGCACGACTGTTACGGCACGTGGTGCTCGATTTCGGCAGATTCACAGGTGCTCTGCTGAAAAAGACGACGCGTTCTCGTGGAAGAGTTGCCAGCTTCTTCCACGTTATTTTCGCAAAGGCGAGCCATGCTTTATCGGCCCGCCGCTGACTAATAATCGGCTATGAATAAGCGGCCGTTTCCAGTCTTTTATTTTAGAAACAAGACCCGCGAGACCTCGGTGGTCCGCCGCTTCGGATGGATTTTTCAAGGTTCCCTCGAATTGATTCTCTAAGATTTCCAAGCGATGGTCCCCGCGAGAAGCCCAATTATGACGAGGAGGGTACTTTTGATTCCTTTCGCAATTCGCGTAGCGCAACTCTAATCGCGGACTTCGCGAATCCTCATGAGCGCGATTTCCTCAGGAAAATCTCGATCATCGTGAATCGAATCGGTCACGCCGATGGCGGCCACGCCGCGATCCTCGGAACCCAGCCAACGGACCGCAACGTAGAAGTGTATTTAGGTAGATACGTGGAGCGAGAGTAATTTTAGCGCGGGCTGACCTGCGCGTTGGAGCCTCGTGTAAAATGCTTCCAATTATTTTATTTTTAGGATTTCCAACGCCGCGGTAAATGCGCGATAAGTGAACAACTTAGATCACCTCACGGTCCGCAGAGTATCGAGAGACTACTGTCGTGAACACGGAGAGAACTCTCGAAATAATTCTCCGTGAAAAAAGAGAGAGACAGACAGGCAGACAGACGAACACACGTACATACAGAGAGGAGAGAGGAGAAAGAGAAAGAGAGAAAAAAAGAGGGATTCCAAGATTTTTAATGTGATGCGCTGGGGTTGAAATATTATTATTAGTAATGTAAGAGGGAGAGCGATATTGCGCCTACAGGATCACAAAATTGTTCTTCTATACAAGAGAAGGAGATTCCATCGCTGGACTGTGAGAGCGCACACGCGAGCGTGCGCGCGCGCTTGCTCCTCGAATAATCATCGCAAAAATGCGCCGAACCCGCAAAAAGGAGCGCGATCGAAATTGAGTCTTTTCATCGAGCGAGCACGGTCCGCTTCTCCACGGTGGAATATGTGTCGAGGAGCCTTCCTTGAAGTGACGGCAAGGCCGCGATTCGGTCGTTCGGACCGCCGCACGATGCTCGAAAAACGAGTTCCACCTCTGCCGCGCGAGATCCGTCCGCTCGTCGGTAAAATTTGCGAACGCATCGTACATGAATAATCGCAACTTTTACAACGTGACTTAGTCCACTTATTCCGCGCCACGCTGCCGATCGTGATCCCGACGCGCGTCCACGTCGAATCGCGAATAACGCGATTCAGCACTCGTTTCGCATCCGACACTGGATCGAATCTACCTGCGAATGTCTCGGATGTGCGAGAAGAACGCTCGTTTATTGAAAGATCGATCCGATGCATCTCGATGCATTTGCCGCGTGTTCTCGCGCGCTTCCGCTGCATGTTGAATGGCATCGCGAAGGGTGCGAGAGGTCAGAGGTCGCGCGCTTCTTCGTTCCGGAAAAGCGCGAGTGGATTTGCGACACGCTAGAAGAAACTAGCGAACTGATGGATCTTACCCGATGAACGTCGAGGAGCTCATGTCCAGAATTTCGTGATTCGTTGAGAGTGTCTCCAAGTCCACGCGTCCAAGCCTACGCCGTCAGCCCGCCACAGCCAGGTAGAAAACCGGTTCTCCGCAAGGCGAGCGCCGTTCCTCGGCTCCCGAAAGTCCCAAGTTGGAGGCGGATATTAAAAGAAGAGACGAGCAGCACCGATGCCGACACTAGCGCGTGCCCGCCGCTACTACGGGCCGTCGCCGTTCGATTCGCTCGCCGTTCGGACCTCGTGACTCCGCAGACTAGCACACCACCGTGGCAGCTGCGTGGCTCCGCTGGTCTCTTACATCCTTACCGATTTGTTCGCCACGACGAGAGACGCGCCGGTCGCTGGTCACCGCGTCGCTGGCCGCCGGCCGTCGTCGTCGTCGTCGTCGTCGTCGTTCGCCGTACGCTAAAATAGCTCGCGTTTATTTTGGAACCGCGGTGTGTGTATGAAACGAGATATTTCTTATTACACGCGCGATATCAGCGTGATATTGCCGAACGTTTAATCGTGCCACTCCTCGTCGCTGATCGATGAGACGGGATGGGATGGAATCGTCGTGCGCGCTCTTACCTTCCGTTAAAAATACACGCGACATAAAAGCGCGAAGAAAAATTCGCTCTCGCGGAGGTCAAGTAGCCGGAGCGATCGATCCTCGAGAGCTTCTCGCGCGATTCCTTCTTATTTCTTCCGTTGGAAGCTGCTGACTGATTGTCGCCGAGTGATACCGCACTTTGCGATGTATGGCCGTTGAGTCGTAGGTAGTTTGTAATTTACAGTTGCGCTCTTTTAAGGTTTCCTTCTCGAATGTCGGATACGCGAAGCGAACCAGGAAGAAGAACTTTCAAACCTCGTGACGTTGTTCTTTAGTTCGAGATGTCAAGAAGAGATGGAAGAGGAAGGCATCGGTCAAAAGACTTTCCAAGGATCGAAATTGCCAATCGATCGAATCTTCAAATACGATTCGTGATTTAGGTAGTTCACTTTTACAGGTGAGGTTTTAAGGTTTCTGCTCGAATGTCGGATATTTGAAGCCAGCAGGAAGAACTTCCAGGCCACGTGACGTTATTCTTTATTTCGAGATGTCAAGAAAAGATGGGAGAGAGAGACGGTTAAAAGACCTCCCAAGGCTTGTATCAGACCACGTATTGAGGATCAAGGATACAAATTTAGGAGCGAAAGTCGATCAATTAGGATAACGCGAATTGGGACTGCAATTACTAATCGATAGGATATTAAAATCCTACTCGTGATCTTGATTCTTCAATACCATAGTCCGATACTCAACTCTATCATCAATCAAACATCACGCGACATAAATTCTGGACGAATTACGACATGGCGAGTCGTAGGACTTCGCCTTATCACAACAGGAATCTGTTCAGTATATCGCGAGAATTTCAGATTACGCGTGCTCCAGCGCGTCCTATAAACTAAATAACAAAGGTACAGTGTTAATGTTCTCAATTGTTAGCACAGTATAGAGTGTACGATTGCGTCTCATACTGATAACTATTAAGGTCGACGCTAAAAAGTGACCTGATATCTACGAAAGGACGAGGCAAGTGAACAAAGTCTACGAGAGTCGAGATTAACGCTCATCCCGGTGGCTGGAGGCTACGAGCTCGTCGAACGCCGCCTCATGTTCCGAAGTGGTGTGCATATACGCCGGCAGAGTCATGCCTAGGACCTTGTTATATCTGGCCTGCGTCTCCGACGTGTAATCGGGCTCGACACCCTTGGTCTCCTCCGCCGTGTCCGACGCTTCGTCCGGGTAATCGTTGTCCGGCTTCTCCAGCCTGACGTAAGAATTCTTGCTGGCGGCCACGACGGGCTCCAACGGAGGAGGCGGAGGATTCGCCCTTCTCTTCTTCGTCGAGCTCACGAATGACGACGCGGGATCCATCTGGAACTCCTTGATCTTGCGGAACTCGAGTTTATCGGGCTCTTGGCCGGTCACGAAGACGCATTCCTCTTTCTGAAAGCCTTCGTCGTCTACGCACTGGTAGCAGGTCATCTTGTCGCGCATGATCTTCTTGCACTTGGAGTGGTCTTCCTTCTGGAAATTCTGCAGGAATCCTTCGATCTCCGCCTTCTTCTTCGCGGTTTGCAGATATCCCGAGTCTACCGCCTCATGTTCTTTCGCGTTCTCAGACTTTGTCTCCTCCTTCGTCGAGGCCTCGTAACTTGGTCCGTACGTGTAAGGTTCGTAGGATTCTTTCACGACCTCCGAATCGTCCGGGTGCTCCTTTTCAGATTCCTCCTGCTGAGATCCCTTGCTATTTTCTGGATTGCCGAATGAGCTGGACTGGCTATAAGAGAAAAGTTTCTCCTTGGGCTCGTACGAATACGAACACTCCTCGAAATCGTTGCCGGTCTTCGGGTCTTTGCAGACCATGCACGTCATGGAACCTTTTTGGACCTGCTTGCAGTGATTCTTGTCGATATTCGCAGAATGACGTTCTGAGGAGGATCCCTCGTAGTTCGAGGGTGACGTCGCTCGATCCTCAACAGATTCATGCTCTTCGTCGCTCGACGCGACTTCGCTGAATCCTTCTGGATTAGAATACTCGCTGTAGTAGGGTGAGCCGCGTGATGAATCGGAGCCACTCTCGTCTTTCGCAACTTCATCCCCGGATTCGTGTGGGTAAGCAGAAGGTGCTGATCTGTCTGCGTGAATAAACAGTCGAGTATAAATATGGAGGAGAAAGTCAAAACATTCCTTGAAGTATCGTATAAATCGCGACGCAAAATTTCCGCGCTTCACGGCCGGGAACGCTGTACCCGTCTGTTGGCAACAAGTTACTTGAGATTAAATCAGTTTGACTCAAGGATTCGCCGGTACTCAAAGATTAATACGACATGCGAGCTTACCGAAATAAGCGTCTTCGTGCGTGGAGTCCGAGCCACGCGGGTATTCCGAGTTCTTCGACGCGCCGGTTACTTTGCCCGAGTCCTGAGAGGAGTCCGTGCTCTTCTTCGGGTACCCGAAACTTTTGGACCTAGTATACTTGTACAGCTTATCGCTGGGCTCATAGCTGTAAGTACATTTCTCGTATGTACCGCCGTTCTTCGGGTTCTTGCACACCATGCAAGTCTTCGAGTCCTTCTGCACCTGTTTGCAGCCCGTCGTAGGCGAATTCTGCACCTCGTCCTGCTCGTTTGTCACGGTAGTCTTCTTGGAGCGAGGCTCGCTCGGGTAGGAATATTCGTGAGCTTCCTCCTTGACAGGATTATAATCTCTCCGTTTGTCGGATACTGGGATACCCGAGGACTCAGAGTAAGAGCCTTCTTCGGGCTCTTCAGAGTTACTTTCGCTCTTTTGCTCCTGAGGTTTTCCAAAAATGGATTTCGTATAGGAGTACGCCTTTTCGCGTGGTTCCTTCATGTACGAGCACTGCTCGTACTTGCCGTTGGTCTTGGCGTTCTTGCATACCATGCACACCATAGAACCCTTCACGACCTTCTCGCATTTTTCTCCCTTGCTTTCGTATGCGGCTGGTACGTCTTGCGCGGTGTCGGTGAAGTGCTCGTCGGCGAACCGGTAAGGATACTCATACTGGTCCGAGTTGGATCTGAAGCAAGCAATCGATCAATGCAACCCGTCAGGATGGATGCAACAATACTTACTTATATACTACTTAATGTTGCTTATATACTACAAAATGTTACTTTAATTTTACTTGTGTTAGAGCCTTGTAAAAATTCAAATAGAGATCCAAATCGTCTTCAGTACGATCCTTTATTGGCTTAGAAGATGAATTATTTTATGGACGTAGAATCAGATGCTTATTTGAAAGTAGCGGATACTTACACAATGGCAGATACTTCAATTAAATATAATTTATAATATTTCGATTAAATAAGCGCGTACTGTTTAATTATTTTATTTTTCATTGTTATTAATAAAAGAATCATGATTGAAGATGTGACGAATTTTTGCAAATTCCTAACAAGTGTTTGTATGTCGTTGAATTTAATCGACCAATTCAACCAGTCGAAATTAATTAATTGCCGAAATTCGTTTAAAACATGAAAACACTCTCTAAATTTCTTGGTATGAAATTTCACTCAAAAAGTAGAGCGACAGCCGAGCCACTCAAAGTCGAATGATTTTTCACTTCTGTGGAGTGAATTCTTCAGTGCAAATCGTTGAATAAATATTCTTACTCAAAATTGAAGAATGAATCTGATGCATTCCACCGTCAGAGAAACAGTCACTTCAATTGATTAAAACATTCATTCATACGGAATCAAAATCCACTCTAATCTCGAGTGAAACCTCATTCTTGTGCTTTTAAATGGTAGTATTTTCACTATCGTCTCGAGTGAAAATACTGCTACTTCTCACTTGTTTGTGAGTGAGGTTTCACTCCAAGAAATTCAGAGAGTATCTGTCGTCAGCGCTTAAATTACTACATATAGCGAAACGTGCCCTTCGTATTATTTTACTTTTATTATTAAACTATTTAAATCAATTTTATATTATTTGACGGCTATTTGTTTCGATTGACGTCAAGTAATGAACTGAATCAATTTAAAGTGACCACCTAGCTGCTTGCTCGGTTATCTCTACCTTCGATGTCTAAAGTTGACGGACTCAGGCAAGAAACTCTCCACCTTCTTGTCGGTGGCCGCGCTCTCTTCCTGTTCGTTATTGTATAAGCAGCGCTCGAACGTGGACTTAGTCTTGGGATCTTTGCACCTGTAACACGTCGTGATACCTTGCCGCGGCTCACCCTGCAACCCGACCGACTTCATCTTGATCTCCTGGCAGTACGCGTTTCTCGAGTTCAGGATGAGCTCCTTGTGCTTCGGGGAATCCTTGTTGACGAACGGAATGTAGAACGAAGATATCGTTTTCTTGAAGCCTTTGTCTTCGTTCGGTTCCTTCTTGAAGCCGCTGTTCGGGAAACGCTCGGACGAGCTTGCGTAGTGATCCTCGTAAGAATCGTAATAATGCGGCATTAATTCGGAAGAGGCGACGTAAGAGTCATATTTACTGTTCCAAGGAGCTCGCATTTTATACTCTATCTGAGCCTTCAAACGTTCATACTCGTAACTTGCATTAGCGACGTGACAAGCAACTAGAGCCGACAACGCTAAATATACCTACAATTATAACTTCAGATTAATAAAAAAGAAAGATTTCTCTCCATTCATTGCTCTACACTAGCTCGAGCCGAAACATCTTGAAGAAATGTCGAGTAGCAAGGTAAATTTCAATTCTATTTTCATTTAACAGGCGAAAAAAAAAATTGATGAATAAGAAAAGAAGAAATCAGCAGTTTACTGTGGACGTTTCGATTGACAATAAACTGTGCCTTTGTATTGCTTCGCGAGATCTCCCCTTCGCACATTACTGACCTTGTAACCAGCCATTTTCGAAGATCATCGATTGTTTTCCGCGTGGATCGTAAGCGTCGAGCTAGCCGTTCACTTCCGATTCCAATGAGATACTCACGATTCGCATCACTTTCTTGCCGAGTGATCGCGCCTTCATGTGAAATGGCTTTATATTGACTTGGTGAACGACAGATTACATTCCCCACCTTCGTGCAAATCCAGCTGGTATAGAAAAGCCGCGCGAGAACACTCTATTCTCCGCCGCCGTCAGAAAAATCCGAGGGATCACCGAGCGTGACGAGCTCCGATCGGAGCGATCGGGACAATCGGTCGATTACCTAAACCACTTTTGCTTTTATTTACGCAACTCCCAGCGCTCGCACTCGACTCGATGAAAACGAGTGAAAATAGTACAAGTAACGTTCGATTATAAGGCGAGCAAGATTACGTCGGTGCAGAAAGGAAGAGAGAGGGACAGAGAAACGTCCAATTTTTATCGTGACAACCTGATCGTGATTTGCTTATGTACACAAAACGCCCGCGGGATTTTTATTGCAGATTTCGACGACACGAAACGATTGCAGAGTCGTTCTTGCTCTGTGCATATTTTTTATCGGCTTGAAAGCTCAGTGAAATAACTCATTTTTTCTCCTGTGACGATATGCACCGAAATGTTCACGCGAATGTTAGAAAAATATTGACAAAAATCGCGGCTCCAACTTGGCAGGCAGATTCAGCATTTCTTCACATATACACACATCGCGCGCGAAAGCCTCAAATATCAAATAAATGATTATTCTTCCGAGAACGAATCCATCGATCACACGCTTGAAGAGGTAATCGATGAGAACAAATTGCGAACTCGCTGTTTGCCAGCGCAGTAAATTGCATGTTCAATTTTCAAGCGGAGACAGGATACCGACGATGATATCGAGTCATCGAATAATCTAATGGATACGTCGCTCTATCGTTTCTACCCTATTTACGCCCGAGAAGCAAAACTACACGATGTGAAAGTATTCGAGGATCAATGACCGCGCGTGTCATTGTATTTTCGCTTCGACGCAGTGGTTTGTCGAAATGTACATGTCTGAACGAGCTACGTAATAGATTAGAATTTAATTACGCAACACATATGAGATGCGACATTATCCTTAACAATGCATAATCCCACACATAGCACAAAAATTTCTCTGTAAACATCAACTATCAATAACATAACATCAATGTTATAATTTTCCATTCAACGATGTAAATGCAATATAAACGTATCGTATCGTATAACAATTATATTGTTGAGTGAAAAATCTCAATATCGATGTAATGTTACTGTTAGTTGGTGTTTACTGGGATTATACCAACATTAAACTCAAGAAGCTTTTAATTATGTTACTAAAAATGCTAACAATGTTATCTTTAAAACGTTACTTTTAAAACGTAAACTATATTTACTTTTAATGAATCTTAAATTCGAACGTTATACTACAAAGTTTTCTCGGTTAATTCAAAGTTGCCTTTTTTGACTAAATTACTATCAATTCAATACTTATCAAAATATAATGACCGTACCGTCTTAAACTGACGTTTCAGCGATATTAATGCGCTGCTTTCCGACAGAGAAAATAACTACAACATCGTATTAAGAAATTTGATTTACTGAGATATATATTACAGCAACATTTCAGTAATAATAACATTGACTTTGACACTATTGTGGGATGTTAAGTGCTGCTAAGTTCGAGATATCACTCAAACGAAACTCAGCGTCGAATGTCGTGCAACACAATTAAACAGATACGATCGAGACTTTATTTTACCTTCGTGCGGTGTTCTTTATTTGATCTTATAACGAAACAATATTGTCTGAATATCGCCTGAGATGCAAGTCGTAAAAGATCGACAGGATCATCTCAAGTACTACTTCTTGACTCCATAGTGATAAGTTCTATCTGTTAAAAGTGCCTCGTGTACCTTTGAATGAGAAGGAGAGAGCTTGGGGAGACACGTGAGGGATTGAATCGTACGATGGACAGTCGTTGAGCAGCGCAGCTTACTCTTTAAAGGGGAAAGGTCGTGGATAAACGGAAATGTGAGAGACGCGCGGCGCCTGGTTGCCGAGCTGCTTGCCGAAAAACGCGTCGGTAGGCGCGGGCTTCAGTTGCAGCTTCGACGCGATCTTCTGCATGATCTTGTCGCTCTCGATATCCTTCGTCTTCTTCTTGTTGTTCAGCTTATCCTTCAGCGAGCGCTTACGGTAATAAATCACCTCGCCGGCCAAAGTGATCATCGCGAGGCCAAGTCCGAACAAAGTCGCGATAAATACTCCTCCTACAGAAACGACCGGTAATTCGCAAAATAGTCAACGATGGATCAATGTGAGAGGTTTCAGCAGATCTAATGGCATGTGATTGAAGCATCGCAAAGTTTCAAGTGTGAGTTGTCTTTCTTTGTTACGCTCGTGATGTAACTTGTTTAGCGGTTTAGCGAATGCGACGATACTGACCTAAACTCTCTAACGTAATACCCTCGTTGTCGTCGGAATTCGGACATTGGGCTTTCAGCGTTTGATTCCAGTACTTGGACGCCAACGTCTCGAAATATCTGTCCTTCTGCAAATCGAGGATCCTGCAAATTGCGTTGTTTACATACGATGTATTTGACGGTGTATCATGACGACACGCGTAACGCTACTATCTTATCATTTATCGTGCTTAATTCATTCTTTTCCGATACTATATGCTCTGTTATTTTACGATGATATGAAAGTTTCAAGTAGTTCTTAAAGCGACGAGAAAAATATTCACATCGTTAGTGATCATCGGAAATGACTCGAAAGCGAATGATTTAAGCACGATGAAAAAAAGAAAAATGATGAAAAAATCGATCCGAGACTTTCTGCTAATTTCCTCTTGCAGATGGCTGCCTTGCTGCACCGCGATGGCGTACGGCTGCTCGGCGAATATTTCGCCTACTTCCGTCAGGTTGCAATTCTTCGTAACCGCGTATTTAATCTCAGACGAGTCGTGAATGAACGCGAACTCGGCGTTCTCGCTTTCTATCACCTGAAAAACGGCGCGTTCGAGTTAAGAGGGAGAATTCGAGACGGAGTCCTCGTCTTTCGAATTCCTCTCTTTCGGTCTACCTTCCTGAAGCCTTCTTCGGTGTCCTTCACAGGACCAACTTGAGTGATGGCCTGCAGAATGTGACCGTACTGTTCTTTTATCGGGTAATCCCAGACGCGATATTCCACTTGATCGCTGGTACTGTTCAGCGTGATTTCCTTCCATACTCTGCAAACGAGCAATGTAAAGTCTCGGTAAACGGATCACGATTGCTTTACGTACGTGTAGAGTTTATCCTCGGCGTTTTTCATGTTTATGAAGTACTGGTGAGCGCTGGAATTCGCCACGACGGTGTAATTTATCCGCGACTGTCTCGCCAGCTGCTCCAACGATTGCACGGGTGACTGTGCGACAAAATACGTAGAAATATTAATGCCAGACACATTTTGGTTAGATTAATAATTCCAGCGTACGTTTCCCAACTCAAAAAATAACAAAGTGTAGTTTTGCCGATAGTAACTGCCGATGAAATTAAGGAAGAATAGGAGGAGTAGTCAGCGTGTACCTGCATCCTCTCCACGGTAAGGAAAGCTGCCAAATTCGCGGTAAAAGTCGCCAACATCAGCACGACGAAAAGCCAATATGCTGCGACCAGAGTCCTGCTCGATAACGCCTTGGGGGCTTCGCCACCACCTTGCGGCGTGAAGGACGTCAGTGCAAACCAGAAACTTTCCTTCAATGTGAACTCTCTGAAGAGCAAACAGTTTGTCCGTTAGGCACGATCGATATGAAAGAGAAACAGCAAGTTCCCATTAAAAATCGAAGGTAGAGTGATCAACAGGACGAGAGTTTAGAGCAGTCGTCCGGCAAGCGAAAGACCCGGGTTCGAGTCCCGGCCTAGCAGGACCGCGCTCTCGATATTTTTCTCTTTCTGGAACGAAAAAGATACGCAGATCTCGAAGGCATGGCGTTCCGCCGCCACCTAGTATGCCCTCCTCCTTCTATGCTTGCTGAGCGCGTTCATCTCGTGTGGGAAATAACTGAGACGAGATCTTACCGACAAGGATAAGGATAGAGTTGTTTGTTGTTCCTCGCACTGTACGGCGAATACTTGTCGAGTATCCAGATCATAACACCGGTCAGAGTCAGAGCGCCCACGATGCTGAGCCAGACTTCGAGTCTCAGCACCGTCATGAACTTGAAGAGAGACGTTTTACGGACGGGTTTCCTCATCACTTGATAACAAAGAGTTAACATTAATCATAACAAAAGTTAACATTAATTTTTCTATGTGTATTGATTAAAGCCTGCGGAAAAAAATAATTTGTTGCAGCAGCAAACTAATTTGCTACATATGGACAGTTAAATATAATTCGCTGTGTTAGCTACTTTTTTTACTGCAGGAATCTATTTTCTTACTATGATAATACGAAAATCTACTCCTACAGTAAGATAAGTGGCTAACGCAGCAAATTTGCTACAGATGGATAATTAAATATAATTTACTGCTTTAGCTACTTTTTTGTGGCAGGAGTAGATTTTATTGTTATTATCATAGCAAGGAAACTGGCTCCTGCAGCAAAGAAAAAGTGGTAAGCAAATTATGTTTATTTGTCCATATGTAACAGAACTTTTTTTCCGTGTGCAATTCATGTCGTAGGAGAAACCGGAAAAAGACAGGGAATGGAGGCAGAAACAAACTGTAGTCGTTACAGTTACGTTATAGTTAAACTAACGAAGAGAGAGATTATAACATACTGTTATCACAGTACGGTCAATTTGTTAATTAATTACCGATTAATATACCGGACTGCTCGAAATACGGAGCGACAAAGTCAATGACTTCCTCCCGCTCCGACGTCATCGTTAACGCCGCTATAGCGATATCGGTTTCCTGCAAAGATATTGACGAATAACGTAACAGTTGTAGCCAAACAAAATCGTTCAGTTACTTCAATTTGCAAAATTCCCTCGGACAATATTCGCACAAATATGTCAAAGAAAACTCAACTTACCCCTCGAGCTAAATCACCTATCAAGCCAGTCCATTCGCCATTAGGCGATTTCTTGCCGAACTCTTGATCTTCGGGGATGACGAGATCGTAATCGAACTGCATCACTTCGGATAGTTTTTGTATGAAGTCGATGCAGTAACCTTCCCAGATCTCCTTTCCCTCCTCGTTGTGCATTTCTTGACCCGTTGCTGGATCTTTCTTAATGACCGACCAAGGGACCGCCTATTTCACAAATTACTAGAAGTGAAGACTTCAAGTCGAGCTAAGGCGTAACGGAGTTCACGCTGTTAGCACCAATAAAGCTCTAGTAAGACGGTTCTTCAAAGTGTTAAGTTTGAAACATATTTGATTAGCATAAATAAATCACTAATATTAATTAATCCATTTAATCAACTCACTGATTAAATGGAAGTTCATAAATAACACGATTGAAACGTCGATCGACTGATTTCAACTCAAATGAGATTAACGATAGCGTTTTGCTCAATTTCTCCCGTCTGTTTTATTAAACTACTTATGTCAGTTTTGCAAATACGTCTTCGCAGCTATACTCGTTTAACGGTACTCGATGAAACGGAGCCTCAGTGAAATGCGGTTCTTACTGGTGCCGTTCCAATCCGGAAGAATCGCCTGGCTGGTTCTATTTTCTTCCCGTCCGCTTCTTTAATTTTTGTACGTCTCGTCCAAGTCGCGAGTGATTCCACGTAGCCGCTGTTGATCGTCTGCAGCTCGATCTCCGCCCTGTAAGTAATCATCGACTTCTCTGCCCAGTACTCGAAAGTATCGTTACTGTCCAGTCTCTGAAACGTAACGAGAACACAATTGAACGCGTGTTTAGTTTTTAATTAATTTGTTTCAATATTCTACAATATATGATTCTCAAAAATTCCCTTATCTTGAGATCAATTTCAATGATACTCACTGTCATTAAAATCTTGTTGAATGTCTCCGCTGTAGAGTTCGAAGCTGGAGTGGAATTAGTGGAGGAGCACTGACCTGTTTTTGGCTCTACACTTATACCCGCCTTTTGTACGTCGCTCATCAGGCTCACGATCAGGCCGATTAATCGTTTCAAATAAAAGGGGAATATCTAATGCGTAATAAGACTCAATTAATTCCGACGATGATAATTGGTTTCTGGAGGAAAATATTTTGCTCTCATAAAAAAAAATAAACACGAGAACGATATTTGTCTGAACGTTAGTCAATCACACTGTGTTCACTAGAGATTTTTGCATAAATTATTGTATAATTACTTTGATGTGGAATGATATAAATTTTGGTTTTCTTACTAATCTTACTAGTACAGACCTTGAAGTTTATGGGACAATTGCAGGATGCCTCGCCTATCAAACGACAACAGATGTCGATCTTCATAGTGAGGATGGTGAATGAGACGTTCAGCTGAGACTCACCGGTGAGATATCGAAATTCCTGATAATTATTGTCCGTAAATACCAAATTCCAAATACCCTCTCTCTTAACTAATCCTCCCTCGATAGCCTAAAAAATTATTTACGCTTAAGAGTAACTTACATATTTGTATTTTTACGTGTAACTAAAAGTCAAGTTTAAAAGTTAAGTTTCAAACTTAATAAAAACCTTTATATATTAATAAATATCTTTATAAACCGAATATTATTTTAATTTATCAAGAGAGAGCTAATTTATTAGCTGGGTTTAAAAATAACCTAGTTAAGCAAACAAATAATTACGATGTCGTCAAGATAACGAGGAAATGACCAAACGGCTCACTTTTCGATCGACGTTTCGATCATTTTTTCGTTAGCATAATTTTCGCTCACCGTCTTAAAAAGTTCCTCCATCTTTGGCGTACTGGCGTAAATGGCGTAATAAGAAGGCGACGGCCGCATACTCCGTATTTTCGACACCGTTCTCTCCGTCAATTCGTCAATAACCACTAGCCTGATGATCGAATTCCCGATGAGATAATAAAGACTCTGATTTAGCTCTAAAAACATTACACAGCACCTGACACATTTGTCGCATTTTGTCGTACAATGTCGGTCGCACTACGTTCGTCCTCGACTTGGATTATCCATGAAAGCGTGCGCCGTACGTAAAATAGATAAATAATGCACCGATACGATGAAGGGAACTTTACAAGGTAGGCACTCGAGGAAAATTGTACTATCACCGCATATAACGACGAATCGTTATCGATCTTCGCGCCACGCACCTCTTTCGTCCTCGAAGATCAGGCCGACATCCGTCGCATTTTTCATAAGCAACAGATCGTCGATCGTCTGAACGTAGGGATTAATGCTGCAATCGCCGCGTTTGTATATTATCCCCCGGTCGTCCGCGATGTTCCGCAGTTTGTCCCAGCCAGTCCACGTCATATCTAGTATGATGCTTATTCCTTTGTACAGAATGGCGCACACTGTCGGGTAACGAAGAATGAAGATCACTCTTCGGACATTGCGAAACTATCGCGAAACACTCTCTACGTTTCAACTAATAATTATAAACGGATATCACGTGTGTACTCTGTACAACGTGGAAAACAATAATGTCTCTTATCCAAGAATTGCAAGTGAGTCAGCTGACATGTACCAAAGTGCACGAACCGCAAAAGACGTCCCATACAACACAACGTTTAAGATCGGGACATAAGATGTCTTAAAGACATCTTAGGGACGTCTTACACTCCGACGTCTGAGAGACGTCTTTAAGATGCCTTTCAGATATCTTACGTCCCGATTTTAGACGTTGTATTGTATAGGGTGTATTGTATAGGGTGACTTAATGATTTTTCTCGCGGCTGAATACCTTTTTCAAAACTTGCTTCCACATTTTCGCGATTCACCATAACAGTCACAAAGTTCACGGTGATCATGTCGTTCGCGAAACTCTGCTCCGCTGCGGGAACAGCGTCGTTCAATATACCCAAGATAGACGAGTCGGCTTCCTCCAGCACGACCACTTCAACATAAAAGGGATATTCAAAATCAACGCCGGAATAAATAAGCAAGGAATAAACAAATCAACATAATTCCCGTGCGATACCACGTCTTTTATAATGATTGAAATCTTTGGCAGCGTTTGGCAGAAGAAGCCATTTTGCAACTGTTGTGAAATTCGTGAATCTGATTGATGTACGCTCTCAGATTTAATCAAGACTAAGAGCGTGCATCAATTAGATCCTCGAATTCTATAGCAGTTGTAATGCAGCTCTCTCTGCTGAACGCAGCCATTCTTTCAATTCTGGTTCGAATCTTCGTCAGACAAAGTACAGACCATACGCGGTAAAAAACATTTTGTATTTGTATTGAACTTGATCCGTGTAGAAATGTTTGTGTAAAATACTTGTATGTTAATTTAACACATTGTCGTCGTATCATTTTGACTATTCTGCGTTGAGTTCGTATTCACAATTTCTTAGTGTCAGAATAACTATTTGTATGTAACATGTACATTCTTGGTGACATACTTTTTATGTAAAATATACAGATAAGTCTTGTTATCAGCATATTTGTTCTGTGTTAAATTAACACAAAAATTAGAGTGGATAAATTGTTAAACAAATCTGACACAAAACTTTCTGCAGTGTAAGTTATTTAAACCAAGAGACAATATAAACAAAATCAATTATACAAATTACATTAAACTCAATTAAAAAACAATGTGTTTTAGTATGTACGATCTGTGCATTGCGCATGAGACATGCAAGCGTGCATTGCATTCGCGCGATGCATGGGACGGGCGAAAGGTCATTGTCTATAAAACTTATCAAAGGTGGCTGAAAAAAGTGTCGTTTGGATTGTACAGTGAATAAATTTCCGCGAAGAGTGAATTCCGTACTTACACAGATTCATCGGCGTTTGACAGAACGTGAACGGCAAGAGGAGCGCGAGGCTCATCAATACGGGCGGAGTTCGCGTTCTCGTTGGCATAGTGAGAGAGTTATGCGTCAACCTGTTAAAACCGGGAGAGACGAGTTAACTTGTCACCTGTGAGATGACAGGAACATCACAATCGCGCACGCACGGGAAGAACGGCGAGCCGTTAGTTTTCTCGTTCTTATCGCGCGAAAGCACTGCGATCCTCTGATGTTTTCTCGCTTCTGCTTCTTCATTTCATATTTACCTGCTTCAGCGATTCTCAACGGAGGATCTTCTTCGATTCAGGATTGACCTGCTAGGTTAGCAGGTTAAAGGCCGCGCGGCTAAACGAGCGATATCTTCTTGTATCTCATGCAGCAGGTGCCAGGACAATACGGACGGCGCGGCGCGACGAAACTACGACGACGAAGTCACGCCTGCGCCGATGTCGAAGCCGTAGGAGACGCACAACGATCGCTTATGAATATTAGACTGGCACCTATCGAATGGTAAATCCTTTTTCCGCAATGAGTCTACATGTTTCTCTATGTGGACGACTCGTACGACGACGACGAGTCGTCATAGACGTTCTACCGCTCGACGCCAACTATCGGGCCATCGGGCCATCGATTTATCACGCGACTCGTAAAGTCGCGTGTACAACACGCTAATACCAACATCCCCCGCGCGCTTAAGACCGGAAATGGCGAATTTTCGGCTGCATTCTGTCTCATCCCAGGTAGCACACACACGTTTTAGAAATGTTTTATAAACGTTAGAACTAAACGTTTCATAACGTTTCTGAAACGTTTCTCATAAGTAAAAATCTCCAAAAAACGTTAGATGAAACATCATTTTTGCGAAAAAAATCATTGAAGAAACATTTTATAAACGTTTCATAAATAGGGTTTCAGAAAGGTTCTTGAAACGTTTCTTATTGGTGCTTTACGGTTCTGAAACTATAGATACGTTTAAAAAACGTTTCTGATACGTGTATGTGTTATCTGGGATGTCGTTCACGAAAACCGTTTATCCTTTAAGTCGCAACGGATACGGCGAAATTGTCAGCGATCCTTTACACACTATTCTCTAAATTTCACTTAAAAAAGAGAGAATGAGTCTCTCAAATTCGATTTTTTTATTGATTTTTCACTCATAAGAATCATCAGAATCGTCGAATAAGTATATTCGCTCAGGATTGAAAGATGAATCTGACATGCAGAATAGCTTGATTGCAAAATAGTTTAGACACAATGAATTTGGGAGCTCACCAAATTGTTAAAATTGAAAAAAATTATTATCGATGAGCTTACGCAATAACAAGTATTTTCACTGCCGTTCCAAATGAAAATACCCAAGTAGAGTAGAAAATTACGATGACATGAAAGTGACAAGAAAATGATCGACTCGTGGTTGAAAGACAAGTTTTCTAGTTATTTCTCTGTCATTTTGACATCATTTCGACGTCATTGTAAATTCTTGTTCTGCCTGTCTTTGTATTGCTTTTATCATTTCAAACGAGACTGCTCCAAGAGAAGACGTCACAGGCAGAATATGATTGATGCAGGTTTCTCTTGTCGTGCATTTAGTGAATCGTTGCTTTATGCGATATATTTTTATTATTATAGAGATTACAGGCGATCGGGAAAGTGCGAACGTTCGATCTCGTTTGTTAGACGATCGGCGTATCCTTGACGAAGCGGCGATAAGACGATAACGAACGTCACTAATCCGTGATTGTGGATTGTGATAAGGCATTACGGGATCGATTAAACCGCAATCATTATTACGAGGATGATTTGTTTCGCGAGTTGTGAGGTTGCAGCCTTTGTCGTTGAACGCTACAAAGCAGGACGAGCAGATACCGAGACGCACTCGCTTCTTCTTATTAACTGTCTGCGGCTTAAAGCAAGCCTCAACAAATAATGGAAGAACGGTATTAAGCTTGTGTATGCTGCTGCAACAAAATGATCGATACGCATGTTATCGATTAGCTGCCTGCTGCATAATATTCTCGGGTGGGAGTAACAACCATTACCTCTTCGAATTGCCCGCTGATTTTTCCCGTTGTCACGGCGGAAACTCGTGTCTAATGTTGGACATAATGACGCGATATCATATGGACAGGAGAAACAATCGAGACAGACTTCGTGGGCGATGGTGCCACGCCACAAAAGTAACGAGTCACCGTCGATTATTTAAGCGGCACCGGTTTCTTCGTCGTTGCTATCATTAGGTAAACGAAAGTGAATTCCACGACATTCCGCGAGGTCACCCCAGACGAATGAATGAATAATTGTCCCACCCTACATACGTCACGCATCGTGTCATTACCGAAGGTAATCGTAAATCGCTCGCTTACCCGCTCGCCCACTCGTCCGCTGAAAACTCCGGACCCCTGATCGATAATAAACTACATCGACTGCGCCGATATCCCGACAGCTATCGCGCGAAAAATGTTGCCGTCGTAATTCCTCCGCGGCACGAGTTCGATAATATTTGAGTACATACGGTACATATGTTTACATTGTGCATGTGAAAACTAATTGAATTGGAACTTATGGAAAATTCAGGAGAAAACGGAGATAAACAGGGTGAATTTATTTGAAGAGAAAGGTAACAATTGACTGCAGTTATGCAGGAATGATATGACCCACATGAAGTACATTTCGAGAAAAACAAAAATTTGATACATAATTTAAAAGGTATAGATAGCACTGAAGTTCTTCGCAATCGTTCAAGAAGTCAAGCAATTTCCTTCTCTTTAAGGGTATCCATTGAAAAGTTTAATTCTTAAAAAATAGATGAAAAAGACGCAATTAGTAGAAAATGAAAACCGTTTCTTAATAAGTTTTAAGCGTCTGTGAGAATTGCATTTGTTGTTTTATGTAGAAAGACGTATGAGCTTAGTAACAAAAACTAAAAAAAGATAATTTTTTAGTTGAAACATTTTTATATAATTCTCTGGCCAATTGAGAAGCACCAACTTACCTTTCATACCTTTTAATTTGTTTATTTATTCGACCCACTTTCTTCATTTTTTCTATCTCTATCTTATGCCAGTACTAATAATTATTACTTGAAACTTGTCTCAAATGAGATTGTCAGATTTAAATTCAGAGTTAGATGACAGTTTCTCGATTAAATCGTGATTACAAATATAAACGTCACATAGAAAATAATTCAAGTGAGAGAAGAACTTGGATCTCACGTTTGAATAAAAATCTAAATGTCTCGCATGAGACAAGTTTCAAATGACAGCTATTAATACGGGCTTTACTGTCAGTGCGTTTAATCATTTCAATCGGTCTTTAGAAATCTGACGCTCACCAATACCGCCACACGGCACACTACGATCAAACAATTGATCTCTGATCTACCTGAGAACGTTTTGCGTCGGAAGGTTAATCGTCAAAAAGTTGAAATCTAAATGGAAATTTAAATGAAATCTAATTTCATGGAAAACGTAACTTTCTTCAGCTCGTCCGCGTTATACATACGCGACAACGCGCCATCATACCGCGAAATTGCGGCGCGAAATCAGTTTTGCCGTTCGCCTCGAGCGCGTTCGCCGACGAAGTCGAAGTTAGCATCCAAGTGGCGGCCGAAGTCGAAGACATCGGCGATCGCGCTCCGAGGTTGATTAATTTCCATGCTTGAGGAAGCAGCGGCTCGGCGATGCGCGGTCGTGGGGAATAATGACGCCTCGAATCAAGAACGCATCGATGGAATCGCAGATGTTTGGACGACGGACGGCGAACCGCGCGACAGGTGCGGCGGTGGTGGAGACGGCGGCGGCGGCGGCGGCGGCGGCGGTGGCGAAGATGATGGTGGTGGTGGCGGCGGGATGCTTCGATAGTCCTCGCCACTATTTTTAGATCGTTCCCAAGTTAAGGCAATGCTAGTACGACGCTATTGTGACCGAGGGATGACTCTGATAAAATCTTTTTGTCAATAACATCGAGCCAATCGCGTGGCGCAAGCGCTTCCGCGAACCTTACCATTTATTCAGATGGCCCGAGCGGCACAATTCGTCGCGTGTATGTACAATCAGGCTTACTATCGACAGACTGAAGGCAATACTTCCCTCTGCGTCGAAAGAGCGACGCGCGATCATCTTCCCAGGCAGCACGAATATAACCAAAAGATTTTTTAAATATGTTTATATTTCTAGAGAATGTCTGAAAGAAATAAGGTATCTTTTAGACGTCTCGAAGACATCTTTCAGTAAACTGCGCTGTCTGGACTTGTCAGCAAGACTTGATGCGACGATCTTAATCTGAAATTCAAATGCCGGAAATGCGCGCGAATATAATATACGCACAATGCTGCATGATAAATTTGTCGCGAAAGCGCTAAGAACAGTCGACTGAATATGGCGGCTACATGAGAATCGCGTGCGGTTGGCCGAAACTTTTAGGAATTATCGATCTATCGATAGATCGATTTATTCGGTGGATCGATAGACATTTTCGACCGGTCGCATTCCTTTCTAGTTACGCGTTTCTCAGATTGCGTCGCCACATTCAATCTATAGCCGATAGTTTTTGGCGCTCTTTCGCAGCGACATGAATTTGGTTGAGTTTTTTAATTCATCGATGGATCCATCGTATGATGCGCAAATGCAGCGTTTGCTGAATTAAAAAAAAAACCTTTATCGTGCAACAGCACAGTTGTGTTCGCGCGCGTTCACGACATTTGGACTCTGAAGAGTCGAGATCATCACATTGTCCTTCCGACCTGTCCAGGGAAATATCGTCTTCGGTTTATCGATGGCGGGCACCACCAGACATCCACGGGACATCCCGAGTGCAGTTCGTCACGTAATCGATCGTCGCATCTATTACTCATTGTCAGACACGGTGAGTATGATTTATTGCGGATTAATGGCGCATTACACATTTAGAGACACACATTTCTTTCATGGTTGATGGGATAATCGATATCGTACACGCAACGTGTCATTTTCAGGTTATGACTGTACTTATAAATATGTACGTTTGTTCTCAAAGCGCTTTTTCTCTCAATGCGTCTTGGAACGTGGTCGATGATCCAATAAGGGAACTTACTTTCGATTAATTCTCAAAAGTTAAGTCCTCTCATTAGATCATTGGCTGTATTTCAGATTACATGGAGCAAAAGTGTTTAAACCATTTTCAAAACCAGTTGTACACGTTGTGTCGTAACTGAAAATAAAAGTATTGTATAAAACTTCAATATATATCGCAATTAATCACGTCCGTTTGCTTCAAAATTCCTTAGAAAATATGGAAGTCTGTGTAAAATAGTGCGATATGTGTGTACGATTGAATAATGACTTCTGATAGAAAATTTTAACGAAGAAATCGTCCTTCACTGTCGGTATTCTTTTACCAACGACTGATGCGTGGCTTTCTATAATGTTTTATCATAATTTTTATTTATATGTACGGATAGGTATAAATTGATGACTGATCGATGTAATGTGCTACAACACCAAGCAAATGTCTCATTTTATAAGATATTTATATAATCATTTATATGTACGAAGCAAAGAGAAGGCAGACGACTGTGATATAGTGTTTACTTCTCTTGCCGTTAGATGTCGGTGAGATGTAGCGGCGTAAACGCTCCAGTTAAGAATCCAAGGTATCGTCAACTGAGAAAAATTGTTACGCAAAGATAAATTTATCAGTCTGTATAATAATTTCCGTTGACATTGGCTAGGCACATTCCGCGACAAGTGAGTAGCGAATCAATTCAACATTGTATTCTCCATTATTTGTTCCGTAGAATTGTATAAAAAAACAGAAGAAACTTGAGATCAAATTGAAGTATTTGGTGGTATGCACATATCATGACGCCATTGAAACCGTTCCAAAAATATTCACAACATGTATAGGATATTTCCGAAGTCAATTTATTTGTACAAAGAACAAGTTACACGCTTTGCAAATGCGCGAACGAGTGGTTCAAATCGTCCGCTGGTATCGGCGGGGAATCAAAGTCAACAAAGCGTGCGCGAGCTCGTCCGACATCAAAATGTCGAGAAACAAGTCGTATGATTACACGAAAGGACGCACGGATTACACATGCCCACACGCACAATAGACGCAGTGTCGGATATTTCGGGTGATGTGTATTTTCGTTGCATAATTCGGTGCACCATATGCCACGATTCGTTTAATCAAGTTCCGCGCCGAACGCTGAAAAAAACGCTGTTCCAGTTTCTCGAAACGTGCGTATACACGCGCACGCATATGCACACATACGCACATGCGGACGGCGTATTTTGCCGCGCCGGCGCGTGGCCACCGTTCTTGAAATACATATACGCGGGCATGAATGAAGATTTTCTAGTCTCATTCATACGTTTAATCCGTTCATCCGACGAGATTCTATCCCGCGTTTCCCTCCGTCTGCGCATACGCGTTCTTGCGACGCTTCGGGGACGAGGCTTCGTCGCGACGGCTGATCCTGTCGCGGACGATAGTTAACGTTCTCGCGAGATATATGATCGCGTGCATTCGAATAGAGAGATACTCTACGTCGACGCTTCGCCGCGAACATTCCCCGAGCTGACACGCTCCGAGAGGCGAGCTCGGTTACGGTGCCGCGAGAACAGAAGACAAGACCGAGCGGAGGAATAAAGATCGCGTCGAATTTTCTGTCGAATACGATCGCGCGCTCTCGATACTCGAAGTCAAACGCTTCGTCGCGGCGATCGCAACGATCGTCGGAGGACTCTCGACTTGCGTGCGAGACGCGTCGCGAACCTGGTGACGAGAGTCTGGCTTGCGACGGGCTCGTCTCGGGGAAGATGGTCGCGATAGTACAGAGAGTAATATGCCGCGAACAATGGCGTAACCGCCATGACTGGACGTGACTGGCGGTGACTGCCGGCGGTGGCATGTAGCGACATACACCAGTCGTGGCGCGAAAGCGAGACGGCAACGCCGCGGGACAACACTCGCTCGCGCGACGAACTTCAGGTCGACTTTCGCCTGTGTGACAGATCGCGGTCGACTCGCCGAGGGGTTGGCGGGGCGAGCGGCGACGACACCTATAGGGAGCGCGCGACCAATCGCGCTGCCGCCTCGCGGATCGAACGGAACGCGAGATCACGTGCCAGCTGGAGAGCGCAGTAACTGTCAGTGGGCGAGCGTCCGGCCAATGGGGGCGCTGCTGAGTGACGTGACAACGTCGCTCAGGCTGGCTCGCGAGCGCAGGAGTCGACGCAGTCGTCGCTCGACCACGACTGTTCCTTCGTAGCCGGTCGTAGTCCGTGTCTGACAGTGCGGGTCGCTGCTTCATAATCGTCTGCGGAGGGCCCGTCGGGGCCCGCGAGAGAAGACACGCAAACGTTCGGGATCCGTGCGCGACGATTGCTCGCCACCACGATGACAGATCTGACAGCGTCATCGGCAACTAGCGCACTTGGGACAGACGCAACAACGGTGAACACGAGGCGAGGTAACAGTAACGACAGTGCGACAACAGTATAGCTGTGAAAGCGCGATAGCGCCGTTGGTGCCAACGGGAGCAGCAGCGGAGTTCGACCACCGACGACACCGAGGTGCACCGGGTGTTTCCTCTCGTTCCTTCCGAACGCCGGAGGAATAGCGGCCTGCCGAGTTCCAGGAAGAAGCAGCGCGTAGCGGAGGGATATCTCGTTGCGAGCGAGGATACGCGCGCTACGGAAAAAAGGGATCGCCGCTGTGATCGCGGAAGGAAGAACGGCTAAGAGAGAGAAAGAGAGAGGATACGAACAACGTGTGCTCGTGAGAGATCGTGGTAACGCTCGCGCACGCACGCACGCACTCACTCACATATATACGTACGTCGGCGCGACACAGGAGGAAACACGGGAGAACGAGAGGGAGTGAAAAAAGAGGAGAGGAAGAAAGCGGAAAAGAGAAGAATAGGCGCTCGTCGCTCGGTAGCGGGCGCCATTCGGAAGTAACAGTGTCAAAGCACTGCCGTTCGTAATTCCCTTCAGCGCCACGAACTGCCGCCGCCGAGTGCGTGCATCTGGAACGTCAGTGGGACAAGTGAGTGCGCGCGTGCCCATCGTCGGCGTGTGTCAACGTGTGTCAGAGTGGCCTGGCGATCGGAGAGAGAGAAAGAGAGAGAGGGCGAGAGAGCCAGACAGTCAGTCAGTCGGTGCGCTCGTCTCTGTCGCACACACGCGCGCGGGCGTCCGTCCACTCCGCCGCGCCGTCTCCGTCCAACCAGTTGCGACTCGCGTCGCGTGGCTCCTTCTCGCTCTCGCGAGCGCGACCGCGACCGCTCCGTTCCGCCTGTTCGCTAGCGGAGTTTTCACTGGCGCGACACGCGTACCACGTATACGCAAGGTACGTGTATACATACGTGCGCCGCGATACGAACCGACCGACGACGGCGCGGCCGAGTGTGCCGTGCGTGCCGGAGCGGATCGGTTCGGATCGGCGGGGACCGTGGAAAAATTCCCGGATAATGGAGAGTTCCGCGTGTGCCGTGGACTGAGGCGATCGGGCGTGAATCTTTCCGTGTGTATCTTCCACGGGGAAGGTGGAGGCAGAGAGGCCGAGGAGAAGGAGGTGGAGGAGGAAGAGACGGAGGAGGACGGAACGGGAGAGATTAGGTTAGGCCGAACCGCGTCACCGCACCTCCCACTCCCCTGGCTGCGGCGCGCGGGGTGCACCATCTCGCTTCTACGTGCACGCCCGTTCCCATCTTGCTCGCGCTGCCCGCCGCTCGACGAACGAGGACGACGTGGAGGGAGAGAAACGCGAGAGAAACAGAGAGAGAGAGAGAAAAAGGGAGAGCGAGGGAGAAAAAAAATAAGGAAAGAGGGTGAGACGACGACGACGGTGCGAGCTGGCTGGGGAATCCGAGGAAAAGCGGGAGAAAAACACAAATGCCGATCGCCGGTGGAATTCTGGTCGCTGAATCGGCGACGACGACGACGACGGCGGCGGCGGCGGTGGCGGCGGCGGCGGTTCCCTGCGTGTTCTCCACCACTGGCATGCTACGTTTCATCGACAGGCTTTCAGGTTAGCGCGAGACATCGCTATTATTGCACGAGTACATCCGCACCGCTCGCGCGAATTTAGAGTTCGGCGAGACGCGCGTTAGCCGTGTCGTGGCCCTCGTGTCGCGACAGTTTGACGCATCGAACGTTTCCGCTCCGGACGCAAGAGACGGGGTACTCCTCCTTTTTTCTTTTCGCATCCGCGCGACAGAGAAGATGCGGGATCGTTCTTTCGCGTACTCGGAATTTTATCGCTATGCGAACAGAGATCATCATCTCTTCTTTCTTTTTTTTTCTCGTAAGATTAAGTTTGTTAATATTTCGCCCGCGTGCATCTCTGTTGAGAACAGCTCGATCGTGAGGAACAGAGTCGTCGGTTCGATGTGTCCTCCGAAAAAGAAACGTGTCCAGCTGGGAAAAAGGCGCAGCTGAGAAAATTGCACGATCAACCTCGTCCACGGGCGAAACTTGCACTTCTGTAGTGCGTCGCGTTGCATGTCGCGGAAATAGGAGGGACTCTGCTTCGATCTCTCGACTATCTTTGTCCCCGTCGCTCTTGCGACGTTCGTTCAGTTAACGTTTTTTAAGGATCGCCGACCGGCGGCGTCCAGGAATACGGCGTGCGGTGAATCGCGGCTTCGCGAATTCGCCGGCGAATTTTCGGTACGCCGGTCTCTCTCCCCCCCTCTTTCCTTCTCTCTCTCTCTCTCTCTCTCTCTCTCTCTCTCTCTCTCTCTCCGTCTCGGCGCGCCGTTAAATGTAAACGTACGTGCGAGCGACGTAGACAGAATAAAAGAGACAAGAACGTAGACGCCGAAGAGAGCTCGCCCAAGGAGAGAGACGACATTCGCATACGTGGTGCAATCATTTTTTCCCTCGGAGACCTCGTCGTTGTCGTCGTCGTCGTCAGTCGTCGGATATCCGCGACGCGACGCGCCGTTCCGTTCTCGCTCGCTCGTGCAATCGCACGAATAGAAACGTAGTAATAAAACGACACCTCTAAAACGTAAAGCAGAGTCGAGTCGCACGCGGCATCGGGAGAAGGAGCGCGCCCCGGCTTTCTCGAGTCCCGTCGATTCCGCTCCGCTTTCCTCCGTTCTCATCGACGGGACGACGGTGCACGGGCCCCGTCTCGTGACGTTTATAAATATTCCCTCGCGGATATGGTCTACGCGAAAACGAAGAGGCAGAAAGGGACGAGTGAATTTCGGCGGACGGAGAAACGTCGATTTTCCGTCGAGCGCCTCGCGAACTTCTCGAGAAGTTCGTTGTCGAATAGCGGGCACGCAGTGCTCGCGATCGCCGGAAAAGAGTTTGTCGAAACTCGGTGAAAGCGCCTTGTAAAACAAACGCGTGAGATTAATCGTGATTCCCCCCTCCCCGTCCTCCTCCCGTCGCTTTACACTTGATCCGTTAGTCGGCGGCGGCGGCGGCGTACCGGTTGTCACGCTCGTAGAAAAATTACGTCGCTTACTTTGTCTTCCGTCGCGATCGAACTTCCTTTGTTCGCCGCCCGAAAGCAATTAGACGTCTCGGAACGAGCCGCGTACTTCTAGATGAACAAAATCACGAGGGAGACGCGTTGTCGAGCGCGATCGAATCAGCCGATTTTTTATCGACTTGGCTCGCTGATCCGATTGAATCGTCATTTTGAAATGAGTATCGTAAGGTATAAGCCCCTGGAGGCTAATAACACTGCTATCCAACTCTGAACATTGCTTTGATCTCCAAATATGAATATATTTATGTAAACTTTTTTAATATAGAATATATATTCATTTCTTTTTCTATATTGAAAGTTTAAATATTCGTATTTAAAAGATCCGAAACAATAAGAATTCAAAAACAATAATTTGTAGAATATAAAGTTTATTTTTGTGAAATGAAATTCATCTCTGTTATTAGGGAGATATATATATTTTCGCATTTGAGAAAAATTGTTTTTCGGTGTGTAAGCATATGCATATTAATAAATTCCAAAGCAATAATAGTCCACAGAGTTAAGTACCAGGATGTTATTAGCGTGCAGGCATTGATACTTTTACACCATACGCCATCCCCGCCACTCTTCAACGCGACGATAATGCTACAATTCGACGGCCTGTCTGTGTCTCCGTCCTCGGCTAATACAAATAGTCCGAGGACTACCGAGTTTCTTATTAAAACACTTACGAGCGTTTTATCTTTAGAACTTACGGAGACAGTGCTACGGCAGCTTTTTTCTTCTTAACGGAAATAGCTATCATTCTATGGAGCTTAGAATGAACCTACACTATAAACGATACGCGACAGAATTTATTTTCGTGTACTCTCCACGCGTGCGCCATGTCGGAGAATATCATAACGACAATTAAAAAGAACGAATACGGATGATGAAAACGGAAATCAATTGGTGAACGAGTCAAAAGTTGTTCCGCGTTCATCAAGTGAGATTATTCGTTAATTAAAACGATGCTCGACAGATGTGGTAGATGTGTTTGATAGTTTATTCGCGCGATACTTCAACAGAGTTTCTGAAAGTAAAGTTATTTTCTAGTTTCAAAGAGAATACACTGTATCGCTTGATCTACTTTAGCTTGTTATCTGCTGTCTACTATCGTTTGATTTACTATTTATTATCTGCTGTCTAATGCTATCTCTTATGTAACTAGTTAGAAACTAATCCACGTTGTTAAAACGCACAGAGAGCTACGAGCGAGGCTCAAGTCTAATACGCATATTAAAAGATGAGACGTTTATATCATTCTTCATTACGGCTTTGTATGCATCATAATGCGAGCGGACTAAAATCTACACGCCATTTTCCAAATAAGCATGATAGATCATTAGTATTGACGATCGTCTGGAATTGTACAGTTTGAAGTTGCTCCCGATGGAGTAAGTGGTACATGAACTACTATTGCACGCTTGTAGAACGTAATGGCTTTTGATTTATATCCTCCTCAGTACCAATCAATTGAATATTTTTCTAAATCTATAGCCTGACTCTATTTTTCTTTGCATCTCTGAAGTTGGCGTTGCGTTATAAATATAAAAAAATTAAAATTTCTGGAGAAAACATTATTCCTAATGACTCTTGAAATTCAGAAAAACCTAATACATGGAATTGTCAAGTGGTTAGGACTGAAGAGAAATATTAGGAACAGGAAAGCGAACGATTAATAAAAAAATGTATTTTGGTTACTTAAACTAGCTCGTGTTTTAGATTTCGACGAAAAAGAATGCATATCTTACAGATATATTTTATTTTTACGTGAAAACAGAAATCGCGAAATGGCAATTACAGGGTCAATTATTTAATGACGATATGTGGTGAATGATTAAAATTGCAAAAGAAAGCTCGCAATCCAACATTTCGCAACTGACTTCCTCGGCCGGCAGTCGATTTTCATTTTGCCGTCGTTGAAATGACACTCTGGCTATCTAGAATGCTTATAAACGTCGTATGCAAACGTCAATTGAAATCTCTTTTCCAACGAATTTTATCGATCCGTTGAGTTAGACCGTCCAACATATACAAACCACATAAATCAACGCGTAGATCCGTTCCTGCCTCGACGCCTTTCATCTTGATGCGATTATTTCCGCTGGAAAACATGTCTCGGGACATACGTGAGAGCGGGAAATAAGGAAATCAATCTTGGAAAAGTCACCGTGCCACGTAGCGTCGCGTCGCATCGGCCGTGCACAACAATGAGGACGTAACGCCTATTTCTAAATAGATGTTAGACGTGGGACTGTTGTACCGACACAACAATGAGTACCGTTATTATTAAGTCCTTTGGACGGCGAATGGAGAACACCTCGTCATCTGCGCGCTTACTCTTTCGAATCTTCCCTCTTCTCACTTCTGCCTCTCTTTTGTCCCTCTCTCTCTCTCTCTCTCTCTCTCTCTCTCTCTCTCTCTTTCCATTTTCCTCCTCACTCTCCATAATTACATATAGTTTTCAAGTTATACGCTCATACGTCTCTATTTTTTGTCTGATCCCGCGTTTGTTTATCATCGTGTGTTGTGACTTTCAGGCAATAATATTGCCATCAAACAGTCTGTTTATGACTGGTTTTCGCGCCTCATTTTGGAGTGAATTACGACGAAATATGTACAAAGTGTAACTTAAATATTGATTTACAATCCTCGATTGATGTTGGCCGTTTCTTTGTGCTGTCCTTTGAAAAGAATTGTAGAGAGTTAATTTTACAACTGACGCGCGGCATTCGACGATGAGATCTAATATAATGTATATTGTTGATAGCGACTCGCGTTTTCAATTGGCCAAAACTATGCAAGAATGATCTAACCTACAAAACTGATTTTTGAGTTTTTGTTACTAATAGGTAATAGTAATTGTTACTAATAGTCCATGTGTCTTTCAGCATAAAACAAAAGAGATCCAAGCTTTATGGGCGCTTAAAATTAATTAGTTTTTATTTTTTACACTGAGAAAAAATTTACTAAATTTCAAAAAACGTTTGTTTGGATAGTACTGTGAAGATATTTGTTTAAATTAAATAATTATTTTCTAAAACTAAATAAAGAAGTTTTAAATATAAATTTGTTTCTTTAATTTTAGAAAATAATTATTTAATTTAAACAAATATCTTTACAGTACTATCCAAACAAACGTTTTTTAAAATTTAGTAAATTTTTTTCTCAGTGTAGTTGCGTCTTTTTTATATATTTTTTAAAAATTAATGCTGCAATTCTAAGCAAATATACGAGTAAATCGTAAAGTCGTAGCTTACGAAAAAAAAATCGTAGATATTTGTGAGTTATCATATGACATACCGTCCGCATAGAATTGCAGATTTACTCATAAGTTCTTACGAGAACAAGTTACGAATTTTACGATTTTATCTGGAATTGCAGTAAATTTGTCAATACTCTTGAGAAGAAGAAGATTGAACATGCTTGACTTTTCGAATGATCGCGAACAATCTCAATACTATCCATACTTTTTGAATTTGCATCAAATTTGCATCTTCATTTTTCTCGAAACGCACGTCGTGTGGCTTTGATTATTC